GGGGGAATGGAAAGCAACAACGCCATCGCAAACCCCTCCCCCCAAAGAAAATTGTTGCTGAAGTCCAGAATCCCCGATCATGTCTTAGACCCTGTCTCAGGTGACGCCATCATCCCGACGGCCCCATCGCGCGATCTGCTCGCTTCGGGAAACACTGTCCGAGATTCCCCGGACTGGTGGCGCATATGTAGTTGGTTGAAGAAAAGCGTAGCGAATGATTAAAAATATAGGCGTGTTTGAAGGGTGGAAAGTTGGGTGAGTGGTTGGATGTTGGATGGATGGTGGGCAAGAGTGGGTTTCGTGCCGAACGACACGCACAATTTGTGGTAAAAGAAGGTAGGTGTGGCGCGAGCCGGGCTTTGTTTGCTCGCTCAAATGATTGAGCTCCATTTGTGTTCTGCGGGTGGGGTTCGCCGAGGGTGCTTTTAGTGCGTGCTGGTTCCCTCTTCTAGAGCTCTGGCACGGCTAGGCTCTATAGTGATGCCAGTTGAAGGCGTCGGCAACTGTCGTTTCCTGATGGATGGATAGTAATAGGTAGATAGCAATAGACGATTCGTCCCGAAAAGAAAGTGGTCTAGTTTCGAACTAAGGTTACGGCCCGGGCCTACTTCGTGCAAGTATGCGGCCCCATAACGGCTGCCATATGGCCAACTGTGTTGGAGTGAGGGGACACTGGCGGGATTTGAGGCAAGTAGTCATGGAAATGGTGGTGGCCGAGCGGGGAGCGGAGATGGTGACGACGACCGTGTCCAGAAGCACTGCTTGCTGAAAGGGGAGATGTCGGGTCGTCATCGTGGCTGGGAGGAGTGGCATTGTGGGACCTTCTGAAGTCGCTCAGATCCTTCTTGAAGTTGAAGTGCGGCATGTGGAAGGAATGGTCCCTCTTGAGCACGGGCTCGTTTCCACTGCCATGTAGTCAACTGGGCCGCTGATACGGCATCTCCGGAGCCGGAGGGAGGTCCGCACAGAGTGGCTTGGTGACCGGCACCTCGTTTGGAGCAATCGAATCACGGTAGTGACTGAGGTACGAGTCCTTCCTGTGGGGCGGGGCCTGGAAGGGAGCGTAGTCGTTGTTGAAGAGCGACGCCATGGCAGTGGCGGAATCCTTGCGGCCTATGGGCTCCGGGCATCCATAGCAAGACATGGTTTTCTGCTGTGCCAGGGGAGGCGCAGAAAGTGACATCTGGACGGAGGCGCGTCGTGAATCGGCTTCCCGCAGTTTCTCCCCCTCTTCCAATGTCCGTAGACGGGCCTCGAGTTCAACCATCCTGCAGTCTGGTCTTCCGACCCACACGTGGACCCAGTGCATGATGACCCCCATACCAACAAGGCAATAGAACGCCATGCTGATGTACTCCTGGAGATTGAACTCCTTGTCTGCCAATGCCATCTTTCTGAGCTGATGTGTTAGTGGTGCCACGAAGGCGTCTTGACTGTAACGATGGTGAAGATGAGAAGCGCGTGAGTCTCACACCTTGTCGTTCGACCTTTTATTTGACGGGAAATGGTCCTGCTTTTCAGGAGCAACAGCCCGCCGTCCTCGGATGCTGTGACGAATATGATCGCCACGATGTTCATCGTGACTGGCTCTTGTTGCCGGTGAAACCACCTGCCCAATCTCCCATCAAATTCCAGAGTAGCTTCGCCCAGTTTACAACCATTCTCCAATTGGCTAGCATAGACGCGATTTTGGCGCTGCTGGTCCGTCTATTGGTCAGCATCCTGCGCTTGACAATGGTACGGGTTAAGCATGTGATGGCGTCCGCAGGGCAAGGTGTCGTCACCCTTCCCAAGGGGTCATTCCCAAGATCATACCCCAGAGCCTAAGCGTTACATCCGTGAAGCGTTAGCTCTTAGGCGGCGATACCGACCTTCAAGCTCGATACGAAGCAACGCTTGGCTGATCCCAAAGTTAAGCGGCTATCATCGCCCCCTCGATTTCTCGGTAACCGGGATTTGAGCCATCCGGCATGCAGAATGCCTTGCGATGCTGTTGGCTCCTGGGTTAGTAGAGATAGATCGACCACCGGCTCTGGCGGTGTCCCTGGATATCCGAAACAACGTCGTCACCAGACGCAGGGAACTGAAGAACTAGACAGTGCCACGCGGCGAGCATATTGATTTTGCTGACTTGCAATATGATGACCAAGTCAGGAGTGCAGCAGCTCTGATAAGAAATATCAAACACTCTGATTCGTTGTGTACATACTTTTTCTTGGTGTTTCCTCTTCAACAAACATTCCCACAGCTTGGCACTGGGAAAATGATGTCCGCGAGAAATGAACGCTAATTGGCAAGCTCTCAATTGGTAGGCTTTTGTAAAGCGAAAAGAGGAGTTGTGGCAAAGGTCTCGGGCGCCGCGAAACCGCGATCGGGGATGCCTTTTCGTAATTTAGTTACTCTACTGCTAAAGTCTGATCGCGAACGAGGATGAAGACATCAAGCATAACCTAAAATCAACTCACTTGTGACATGCTGCTGCCTGTTCATGAGAGCTTTGCTCTTCACGCATGACACTGAATGTTCCGACCTTGGTGCTGACCGAGAGAAGTGAGGTTGGCTACGTGGATATACCATGCCGAAATCGGCAACGATCGAGTATATGATAGGATACCGATACCGAATTCGCCTAAGCGGGCCGATGCGCTGATGTGCCTGCATGCATTGGAAATCATGTTGTCTGCCTAGCCAGGAGTCATGTTGTAGCGCTAGAGTTGGCAGGAATTTGATCGGACCCGGCACCGCGGACCATTTCGCCGACCCATCATCTCCTAGGCTACAGTCGAACACCGTCCAAGGGATGGTCGTCAATGCTCCCTAGGAAAGAAAAAAAAAGTTTTGTCTGACGTATCAGAAGCGCGCTATGACTGAATTTTCTTGCCACGCTGCAACGTTTGCGGTAAGGAAGCTGCTGCAGACTGATGTCGTGCCCGATAACCTTCATGCCGGTCCGTCTGGCTAGACAGTATGATGGTTGTTCCAGGCACCTAGAATCTGTGTTGCCCACTGGTGTGAACAATCTAACGCCCGTCACCATGAAGCGAGACCAATCGCCTTGCGAGACAATGACGCTTGTCCGGAGTAGAAGAAGAAATCTAGTCAATGTTTATAGTACTTGTATGCTCTAGGTCCATTTCACTAATATCTAGGGCTCAGGCTTTTAGCTAGATGAGGAGTATTCCGTAGGGACTGCTTATATCCTTACCGATCTCACTAAACAGTAGACGGACGGTAAAAGGTATTAAGTTACGGGTGCATGTAGTCTGAGATCGCCTCGCTTATACCCAGGAGGCAGATGCGTAGCTAGACAAGAAGTATCCCGTAGGGTCTGCTTGTATCGGTCTCTATCTCGCTGGATGGTGAATCGCTTCACGGTGACAGGCGCTACGAGTAGCGATGGCATTACGTAGGTAGCCGTCGAGGAGGTGGAGTGTAATAAAGAATATTCTGCTTGATATCAGCGCTCGACAATAGCTACACTTGAACAGTACTTATACAAATAAAGAGGACATATAAACGGGTGAGAAGGAGAAGACTTTTGGTTTAAATTGAAGACTGGTGCGCATGTACAAACCAGTCGACCCTCTGATCATTTCAAACCACAAAATATACCCATCGAGAAACTCCGACCCATGCAGCTCCGCTGAGTTGCGCCACAACAATCAAGACTACGGCTACTCCTTTTCAACCCAAAAAGTCTTTTACGGCTCCTCCCACATGTTCCAGATCGAGAAGGAACGTATCGTGACCGAACATGCTCTTTTCCTCTCCCAACTCAACGTGTGTGACATTCCTGTTGCCCGTCCGGCGCAGAGTGTCTGCGATCTCCCGTTGTTGCCAAGCCGGGAACAGGATATCGCTCGCTACACCGAGCACCAGAGTAGGGGTTTGTGACAATTGCTTCATGCCTGCCACGAGGTCCGCGGGGGGTTCTTGTGAGTTGGATGAGGAAAGGCTATTCGTCGGAGATGCCACCGTGTTGCTGGATTGGTCTTGTTCTTCATACGGCTGTTCTGGGAGCGTCAAGTTGCATGCGTCGGCACTCGTCGTGTTTTGGGCATCCTTGTCGCCAGCCTTGAAAGCTGCAAGCTTGCCCTGGTTCTGTGCCCTGACACTGTTAATTCTCGTGCGGTGTTCCAAGCCGAGATCGAACAAGTCCATGGCCTTCGAGACGTAAAGCAAACTATTGGCATCGTACTCCAGACACCACTTTTCGCCAGCATGGTCCAAATATGTCTCAATGAGGAAGTCAGGGCAAAGAGCCGGTGGCCTGGACGGATCAGCCCGTCTCCTACCGAAGCGCTGCTCCCACTCAGGTCCACTGCGGTATGTGACTGTCGCAATTTGGCGAGCCATTTTCATGCCAGCATGGGGCGGTATTCCGTCATAGTAGTGTCCACGCTGCCAGTTCGGGTCATTCATCAAAACTACTCACTGTCAGTTGAAACGTCATGACATCCTACTGCAGGTTACCAACCTTGTCTTTGCGTGTGGCGCATTGCAATGCTGTATGGATGGCTGCGCGCACAACCGCTGATGGTTACAATGCGGCTGACGCGCTCTGGGAAAAGCACTCCAGCTGCCAGACTCAGCATACCGCCCATGCTGGACCCTACACTTGCGTACAACTTCTCAATGCCCAAATGGTCAAGCAATCTGAACTGAGCGCGTTCCATGTCTTCCATCGTCAGAATAGGGAACGTAGTGGCGTATCGCTGGCCATTCCTGGGGTCGACTGAGGAAGGGCCGGTTGAACCAAAACAACTTCCGACGACATTGGTGCAGATGATGAAGTATTTGTTCGTATCCAATGGTTTTCCCGGGCCAATAAATTTCTCCCACCAACCTGGCTTGGGGTTGGCTTCCGTGCTTTTAGCATGACTAGAAGCCGAAAGCCCCGTATGCAAGAGAATAGCATTGCTTTTCTCCGAATTCAAGTTTCCCCATGCCTCATACGCAATGTTAACCTCCGGAAGGATTCCACCCCAATCGCACAACATAGGCTCCTGGGACCGGTAGTTCAAGTGGTGGCCCGTCGTATAGGTGGGCTCAGGACCAAGCAGCGAGCGCTTCTGCAGCGACGCAGATCTCGTTTCTACGGCGTCGAGGCAAGGGAAAGCCAAGGCCGGGTTTGTCGCATCCGAGGTCTCGGGGTCAGGCTTAACAGAAGCCTGCGGTTGAGCCTTGCGCGAGCTCTGGCGGTGCAGCGCGCGAGCAGCTTGCCATGGTCGAACTATGCGAGCCTGAGCAGGCTTGGTTTGCGCGAAGCGAAGGAATTGCTGTGCCGGAAGGCGGGAGGAGCTGACGGCACCCCTTGCCCAAGACATTTTTGGAGATCGAAGAGGGGAGGAGAGGAGGAAGAGAAATATTATGGCATTGCAGCTTATGGAAGATGGTATGACAAACCTGAGCTGAGTCCCGCCCCGCAGGCCCGCCATCGCATCGGATTGACGCCACGCGCCGCCGAAGACCGGGGCCTCTTTGTCAGCGGCACCGCACGTGCCGTTGGCACTCCCAAGCTTTGCGCAGGCAAGTTACCCGGTGACATGTGAGATCAAACAGGAAAAAAGGAGAAGGCCGCATCTAGGCTCCCAGCAAGGTACTCGAGTAGCTTGTCATAATCGGGACTTTGTATCTAGTGTCACGGGTACCTACCGCGCGACAAGTCTACTCGATCAGACAAGCACGATAAGACTTGGCGTGCTGACTCATGGCGGGCTCTGATTGGCAGCCGAGCCTTTGTGAGCCGCACAGGGTTACACATGTGCACAAGGAAACCAACAAGGTGCTCAAAAGCCTCCAGCACTTCCCCGACTGCCGGCGCTTGTCCCTTATACCCGCACTTCACTATCAGGACTCTTATTTCTTATCAGGAGAGCTGTCATTGCCGCTCTAGCTCTCCGGCCCGCCCCTTCAACTGCCGCGAAAGGAGGCAATTATGGAGCTCGACAATGACACCCGTGGCTGGATTATGACCGCCTTGAGTGGAATAGGTGAGCTTCCTCTCCCGCGCACCGCTAGAAACAACTAACTAGAGATTTCGACGGCCATCAGCATGCATTATTGGCGGTAAGTCGCAAAACAACATGCCCGCCGCTCTGAAAAGACACTGATTCTTCCAGCCTCCATCATTTGCGTCGACATCTTGATCAGGCTAATACCCAGTCAAAGAAACTTCAGAATTCAAGACAGTAACGCCTTTCTCTCGTGCTCCTTCAGCTTGACGTTTGGCCTCATGGTAAGAAATTTCAGCATCTTACCTCTCATGACATCACGCTTACTTTTAATTAGCTGTTTCTGTCCTTGTTTAGCGTGCTCGGCTCAGCAAAGAGCTCTCTCCAAAAGGGCGGTTTTTCGTTGAAAGGCGCGGCCTGGACCTTGATCGCCTGCTTTCTAGCCGGCGTTATTGGCATTCAATGGGTGTCAAATATACTACACCGTTTTATGCCAACTCATGTTGTGGATTGCGACCACACCCACGATGAGGAGGCGCCAGCTGACGACCACGACCACGACAAAGCCGGACCGGCGAGAGACCATAGTCATGGCTCTCACGATCACTATCACGACAGCGCAGTCAGCTTTGAAGCGTCATCGCAAGGCGAGATGTTTGAAAGACCGCACCGCGAGGCCGTACGCAGACCATCCTTTCCAGCTCAGTTGACGCACAAAGTGTCGCAAATCATGTCCAGCTCCAAAGCCAAGTGCGATGAGGTCGGGCCGTGTTATGGCTATTCAGATCCTTGTGGGATAGATTGCTTCAAGATTGTTCACGCAAGAGGAGGAATCAGGATACCGCCTGGTGCTCTCTCTAAGGCACCAGGTTTGGTACGAAGCGCTACCACAAGCACGCCTCACCACACAATTGTAGGAGAGCGACAGCCACTACTGCAGCATGTGGATGCGGATCTATCGGCTTCTAGCCAATCCTTGCTGTCTGACACCGGCTACAACACACTTTCAAGACCTGACCCTGCAACACACGTTAACGGCAACGGCAATCGCTCGACCAAACCCCATAGCACTCACTCCAGTATCAGCCATCACTACGACGAGCACGAACATGACCACCACGACCACGGACCGAATCACCACCACCACGGCCCTCCCGACCCCAACCATCACCACCATCACGTCCCCACCAACGCCTTCTTGTCCGTGGGCCTGCAAACCTCAATTGCGATTGCGCTGCACAAGCTGCCTGAGGGCTTCATCACGTATGCCACCAACCATGCTAACCCGCAACTTGGGCTTTCCGTCTTCCTTGCCCTCTTCATTCACAACATCGTTGAGGGCTTCGCCATGGCTCTGCCCCTCTATCTCGCTGTCAACAGCCGCTGGAAGGCCATGTTCTGGAGCAGCTTGCTTGGCGGCGTCAGCCAGCCTCTTGGTGCCGGCATCGCCGCCCTCTGGTTCAAGGCTGCCGGCCGAAGCGGCTTCGCCCAGCCCAGCGAGGCCGTCTATGGCGGCATGTTTGCCGTGACTGGTAAGTCGCGCTGTGGTTCACTTCCTCTGTTCTCCCAAGTCAAACGAATATTAGTCATACGTGTTGCTGATACTCGTGCACAGCTGGCATCATGGCCTCGGTCGCCCTGCAGCTCTTTACGGAGGCTATGGACCTCACGCATAACCGCCGGATGTGCATGATTTTCGCGTTTATTGGAATGGGCATCTTGGGAGCCAGTTCGGCATTGACGGCCTAATTTGAGTGTAAGTATGTAGTGCGGAGCAAGGCCGCTTTTCTTGTTTATGTGGGTTTGAATGTAGTATTTCGGTTATACATAGGCGCGGCCTGAGACAAACAGATTGGGGCATACACGATTGATTTCTCTTTGGCATAAGACTGTAAATTCCCTATTCACCTGAAGCGTAGCTTATTCTACGAATGTTTTTTTGTGGTAGCAGAACCATAACCATCGTTGGCGAAGGAAAGATTAATCAGTCACTGAGGGCTAAGTTAGTTTGCGCTTACGATTGCTGGTAGTGAAGTGCGTGTTTTCCTTCTCTCTCAAACCCACGGCCATCGATATTTATTTTGTTTATCTGAAAGCCTGAAGGACGAATGGTCGAAAACAAGTACAAACGCGAGTCATACAGCAGCAGCGGAATGCGCAGAGTTACGTAAGGTGCCCGCTCTCCAGCTAGGTAAAGTCCGCAGCACCTTTACACTCAAGAACCTAAAACAATTAACCACATACACTCCGCCATGGCCGCCCAAGTCCTACTTCCCGGCGACGACGTCCCGGCCGAGCTGCTGCCCGTGTCGCATAACCCCAACAAGCCCTTAACCCTCGGCCCAGGCCTACGACACATCCCGCCCGCGACCATCACCACCACGACGCCAGGCGCGCTGCAAACCGACCGCCGCAAAAACGCAGTCTGGATCGACACGAATGGCGGGCGCGTAAGCCTCTCTCCCCTTGTTCTCAATCCCAATCCCAATCGCAAGCGCAATTTCACTTCGCGACCCCGCCAACTCCAGCCGCACACACACATGCAAGCACCAGCTAACACAACCACGCACGCACAGTACATCCCCGCAGTCAACGACCTCGTAGTCGTCGCCGTCCACCACAGCGCCCCCGACTACTACCACTGCGCCATAACGCCGTACACGCCGCTCGCCACCCTCCCGCACCTAGCCTTCGAAGGCGCGACCAAGAAAACGCGGCCGATACTGGCGCCGGGCGCGCTGGTGTACGCGCGCATCGCGCACGCCTCGCGCCACCTGGACCCGGAGCTGGAGTGCGTGGCGGCGAGCACGGGGCGGGCAGACGGGCTGGGGCCCTTGAAGGGCGGCACCGTGTTCGACGTCAGCGCGGGCATGGCGCGGCGGCTGCTGATGCCCGCGGGGAAGAAGCCTGCCAAGGGCACCGAGAAGGAGAAGTATGCGCAGGGTGAGGAGGGCGGCGCTGCTAGGCTGGTTGTGCTGGAGGCGTTGTCTGAGAAGCTGAGGTTCGAGGTCGCGGTTGGTAGGAATGGTCGCGTTTGGGTCGATTGCGTCGACGGTGTTAGGGCGACTTTGGCTGTGGGGCAGGCGCTGCAGCGCACGGATAGGGAGGCGCTGGGCGTGGAGGAGCAGCGCGCGCTGGTCGCGAAGCTGCTGAAGGCGCTGTAGAGGGGTGGTGGGATATTGAGAATGTGGGGAAGGTCGGGGAAGGGAGACGGCAGGTTGAGCGAAAAACACTTGCAAAAAAACACGCGGCATACAGACCGCAATACGGCAGGGAACGTAGAGGCGTTTGTGCATCCATTGCATCTAGAGCGGAGTACGGCGTCACTCACGGCCCTCAAGACAAAAAGAACGCCCAACAAATGAATAATGCATGCATTCTATACCTTGCGCCAATTCCCATCTCTTCTTAACTCAGAGCGGGTGCATACGGCCAGTGTCCATTAGAAAGGAAAGACACGACGCGCCGCCCCGCGAAACCCAGGTATCTAGCTTCTAACATGACAGTCATGATAAACAAAGGCGCGGAGTGCATGCGTTAGTGCCCGTGCCCGCCATGCCCGACTTGCGTCAGCAGCGGGACGAGCATGCCCAGCACGGCGACGCAGACCTCGGCGACGCTGGGCGCCTTGGGGTGGTCGCCGTAGCTGGGGTCCAGCAGGCCATTCTCGACATAGCCGTTTGCGAGGGCAGAGGAGCCGGAGCCGGCACGCACGCGTCCATATGTCGTTGGCGCGGGGTTTGCGTGGCTGCCGCCGCCAGTGATTTCTTGCATGCTGTGCATTGCAACGTAGCTGGCGGAGTGTTAGCAGGGGCGACTGGTCCTTCCTGTCTTCGATTTCTTTACAAGCGGTAGAGAGCCCGTGGGAAGGGTAGGGGGAATTGGGAAACTTACAGGAAGGTCCCGCCTGAGAATAGCAACACGCAGCCCGTGGCGAACTGCATGCCTTCCGCACCGCCGAGCGCCTCGCGGCCCAGCAGGTTCACAACGGCCCACGTGCTCAGCGCGCCGACCGGCGCGGCGAGGCTGAAGAAAAGCAGATGCGCGCGCGCCTGCCGCTTGCTGAGGCCCTGCTTCAGCAAAACGGAGGTCAAACCAAACGCCGCGGGTGCCTTGTGCACCATGATGGCGATGAAGATGATGAGGCCCAGTTTCCCGCTGGGGGTGGCCCCCGAGGCGCCGAGCGCGATGCCGTCGGCCGCGGCATGGATGACGAGGCCGATGGTTGTGGCCGGAGCGTTCGACGCTGGGTCAGAGGGCGCCGAATCGGCAGCATACAGGCTCGGCGAATGCGAGGGCGAGTGGTGCAGTCCGCTGGAGAGGTTTGAGAGTGAGATGTGTAATGGCCGCGCCGTCGTGGCTGTCAGGACTGTGGGCAGCATGTCGATCAGGTACATGAGGATGAAGCCGAAGATGAGAGACACGCCAACCCAGGCGTGCGGCTCGCGGTGGGTTTTGTGCTTGTACTCGTCGCCGGCGGGACGGCCGACCTGGGCGCGGTCGTCGCCGCTGTCGTCGTCATTGTTGGCGGGTGGTTCGGCGCGCGGCACTGGGTGGGACCAGGTTGTGGATGTGTCGAGATGGCGACGGGCGTGGTGCGAGTCGTCGGCGTAGGCGGTATACAGGGTCTCAATGCCCTCGGGGACAATGACGATGAGCGAGGTGCCGACCAGAACGCCGGAGCCCAGGGCGGAGATGTAGCGCAGGTGGCGCTGCGACAGGGTGAAGGAGAGAGGGAGCGAGCCGGCAAGGAAGGAGCTGGCAGGTTCAAAGCATCAGCGACGCAACGGGCGGGCGAGCGGGCGGACGGCGCAGGGCGCTTACGAAATGCCCATGATAGTGCTCAGGATGAGCAGCAACAGGGAGCCGCTCCACATGCTGGCAGAGAATATGCGGTGCTGCAATTGATGCGAGGGCGGTCGTCGGGAGATCAAGAACGGCAGAGTTACAGGGGGTTGGTGTTGTTATTCATCCCCAGCTCCCAATTTAATTGTTGAGGATATACTACTACAATAATACCTACCTCTATACTCCTGTAAGACCTGTAGGTAAGCAGTATGCCAATACATATAGGGCCTGCGCTCGCAGCTTGATTGTAATTTTTTTATTTTCTCTACCACTCCGACCGTAGTAGGGCTGAGTGACAGACAATTGACTGGGAGCTCGGATCAGCTGCAGCGCGCGTCAGGCAAACGCGCGACGCCTGAGTTGAGAGCTCTTTCTCTCTCTCCGCCTCTTCCTAATCGCGCTTTCAACAACCTCACCGCCGTGTATAAGCTGTCGCGCCAACGCACGCTTTCACATGATTCAGCCCTCATGCTTTTCTTTGCGTAGCTTGGTGATTGCCCCAGTCAGTTAGATCAGCTTAGTCAGCGCCGCGGTACGCGCTTGCGGCCTCTCCTCCGCGCGCCGTCACCAGTTGCTTGCTACCTACTCAATCAACATTGCTCCACACCACCACCATGGACGAAGTGGAAGAGCTTGTCGGCGAGTTCCTCGCCGACGCGAACGACGCGTTCAATGTCAACCTTGTGCGCGCTGGCAAGCCCGTTTTCGAGGAACCATTTCACCCAATTTTTACCTACCCCATCTTTGGAGAGGAAGAGCGCGTCTTCGGCTACACCGACCTCGAGATCAACCTGCAATTCCGCGCCCATGACCTGCTGCCGTCTTTGGGCATTACTTATGAGAAGAAATTCCGACCCATCGGAGATACCAAGGCCATGGATATTAAGGACATGATAAAAGACTACCTGCCCGAGAGTGCGTAGACTAAAGCACAAATGTCTCCCAGCTACCGGTTGCTGACAAGTCACAGATATGCTAGCTAAAGACGAAGCAATGGCCGGAGAGAACTCTGAGGATGGTAGCGCAAGTAGCAACTGGACGCCTCCCGGGAAGCGCATCCACCAATACAAACAGCACGGCAAGCAATTCGAGATCTGGCTTACTGGACTGACGGACCCGGTTGCAAAGGAGATCTTGCGGCGCATGCAGATCTTCATACCATTTTATATCGAGGGCGGCACCTGTCAAGACCTGGAAGAAGAGCTCTGGACTATGGCGAGGTGGAAGCTCTTCTTGTTATATGAAGTGGCCCCTGCAAAAGACGGCACCGCTCCCCCGTACATCTTTGCGGGCTTCTCTACTTCCTACCGTCTCTGGGTGTTTCCAACGCACGAGGTTCTTGCTCGCGTCAACAATTGCTCTACGGCAGAAATCGAGCCTCCCGAGCCGCTCCCGAGGGACCCTGACACGTTACGCTACAGTGGCGACTACAGTCCCATGGATGCGCCCTCTCGAGAACGCATATCGCAGTTTCTTATCATTCCGCCTTATCAAGGCCAGGCCCATGGCACTCATCTCTACAACAAGATGATGGACATATTTCTCTCCGACAAGTATGTCGTCGAAGTCACTGTTGAAGACCCCAGCGAAGCCTTCGACGACCTCCGCGATTGGTGCGATCTTGCGCGTTTGCGTAGCAATCCTGAATTTGCGGATCTGAACGTGGCTGATAAGGTCCCCGAGGATGCGCTGAGACCGAATGCGGAGGTTCCCTCAGACAAATTGTTGCCGCAAAATACCATTGAAAAGATCTACAAAGCTTCCAGGATAGTGCCGCGGCAGTTTGCGCGCCTCGTAGAAATGCACACGCTCAGTAAGATTCCTGCACGGCACCGGTCACCAGCGCGCATTTCACGCAAGCACAAGGCAGCGGATCCGAACGACCGGAGGTACTACTTCTGGCGACACTTGGCCAAGAAGCGGCTGTACATCCACAATAGGGATCAATTGATACAAATCGAAGAAAGCGAGCGGGTGGAGAAGGTGGAGCAAGCGCTGGGCGGAGTTGAGACGGATTACATCAGACTGCTGGAGGGGGCGGAGCGGAGAGCGGCGAATGGGGAGGGAGCCAGTGGAGGTAGCGGCAAGAAGCCCGCCAAGAGGAAGAAGGCAGTCATTGAGGATGAAGACGAAGATGAGGATGAGGAACCGGAGAAGGCGAAGAAAGCAAAGTCTACGAAGTAGTGCATGAAGGGGTAATTGGGATACGACGTTTATCGCTGCGGGCGGGCGGGCAGGTCAATTCGGCATGGCGTTTGGTGCAATGGGGCTGTTTGACTGAAGAGAAGAGGCGCTTGGTTGCAGCGGGATATTGATTGCTAGAGAGCTAGGCAGTAGCTGGTACATGCAATAGACACCTACGGGAAGGCGCCGGATAATTTGCCCGCCTCTTCTGGATATTTTGGCTACCCCACGTGATAACATACCTGCAAAAGTGTACGCTTTACTCTACCCTTGAGTACTTTTGTGTCTTTATAACTTTATTAGTACCTTTATACTACCTGTATGTCTCGATGCCTTTGTGTCTTTTTGAATACTTATACCCTCCCTTTATATAGCTATCTAGCGACTACCGACCGCAAGGTTATACCTGTTTTATAGTACTCGATGAGTATGGTAGACTCTACTCAATATGCAGATGAAGGGGGGTGTGCCGTACGGAAAAGTAGGGTTGGACGAATCAACGTCGGAGGTCGGCACGCCCGGAGCTTGGGGTGTCGGAGAAATCGTCGGACAATGAGCGCCCGCGAGCTGTGCGGGCAGAGAATCCCAACTGACCACCCCCAACGAAGAATAATTTACCTATCTCACTCCTCCACCTCCACCACCCACCCACCCCCTTCTTTTCTCCTCAACCCCGCCTTGCCGCAGTCCTCCCGCCATGTTCTCGCGTGCTCTGAGGACCAGCGCTGCCACGCCGCTGCGGCGCGTCTACGCTACCCCGATCGCCGCCCGCCGCGCCGTGACCACCGACGCTGCGTCGTCGCACGCCGACCGCGCCAGCGTCCCTTCGGTTGGTTGTCCCGCTGCAGCTATGTATCGCGCGAGAGCGGTTTGCTGATTTGCTGCGATGTAGGAGGATGATAAGCCCTTCGAGGTCCGCCTCTCCGACGAGGCTTTCGAGACCTACGAGCTCGACCCGCCCTCCTACAACCTCACCACCAGCAAGAAGGAGCTGAAGCAGATGTACTACGACATGGTCGCTGTCCGGTACGTAGCCCGTTCATCCCAATTGAATTTGTGCCGTTGGCATTGGACTCTTCCGGGGCGTAAGCGCTGACATCTCGTTTTTCCGCCTTCAGCCGCATGGAGATGGCCGCCGACCGTCTGTACAAGGAGAAGAAGATCCGTGGTTTCTGCCATCTTTCCACTGGCCAGGAGGCCGTTGCCGTCGGTATTGAGCACGCGATTGAGAAGGAGGACAAGATCATCACCGCCTACCGCTGCCACGGTTTCGCCATGATGCGCGGCGGCACCGTCAAGTCCATCATCGGCGAGTTGCTGGGCCGGAGAGAGGGTATCGCGTACGGCAAGGGTGGTTCCATGCACATGTTCACCACCGGCTTCTTCGGTGGCAACGGTATCGTCGGTGCCCAGGTTCCCGTCGGTGCCGGTCTGGCCTTTGCCGACCACTACTCTGGCAGGAAGAACGTCACCCTGTCGCTGTACGGTGACGGTGCTTCCAACCAGGGCCAGGTCTTCGAGGCTTTCAACATGGCTAAGCTTTGGGGCCTGCCCGTCATCTTCGGTTGCGAGAGTATGTCTCCATGTTCATCCAAACCCTGATGTCGGCCCCAGCTAACAGACATCACAGACAACAAGTACGGTATGGGTACTTCCGCCAGCCGCTCGTCTGCCCTCACCGACTACTACAAGCGTGGCCAGTACATCCCCGGTCTCAAGATCAACGGTATGGACGTCCTCGCCGTCAAGGCCGCTGTCCAGTACGGTAAGGAGTGGTGTGCCGCCGGCAAGGGTCCTCTCGTCTACGAGTTCGTTACCTACAGATACGGTGGTCACTCCATGTCCGACCCCGGCACTACCTACCGCGTAAGTTCATTTTGGTGATATTTGCACTAGGCGCTCACACTAACACCGGAATAGACCCGTGAGGAGATCCAGCGCATGCGCAGCACCAACGACCCCATTGCCGGCATCAAGCAGAAGCTGCTCGAGTGGGGCGTCGCCGAGGACGAGCTCAAGACCATCGACAAGGAGGCGCGCGCCAACGTCGACGCCGAAGTCGCCGAGGCTGAGAAGATGCCCGCCCCCGACGCCACTCCCCAGATCCTGTACGAGGACATCTACGTCCGTGGCTCCGAGCCCGACTTCATGCGCGGCCGTATCCCCGAGGAGAACTTCTACTACACCGAGGCCAACATCCCCAAGGATGGCCCCGCCGCCGTCACCCGCACCTAAGCGCGCGCAGCTGCCGCTATTGATGGGGTAATTGTCGTGAAAGCTAGAAGAATAAGGGATGGAGCGTTTGCGGGATTTTGGAAATGTCAGAGGTGAAACTCTGACGGCCGCGTACGCGAGGGAAAAGGAGATCGATGGATGGGGGTCCGTTGATGCGATGGAGGGAATCAAAGGAAGAGAGCACGCGCTAGAATCTTGCATCTTTGTTTTTGTTGACCCGAGGGGGTTTCCGGGAGTTCCTACCCTATACTCAGCAGCGCGTTTTTTGCTTGCTTGGGGCTCCGTGTGTACTACTCGTTTCCGGGGTCGATCGATGATGCCCGTTATATCTGTTTTGTTGAACGAACGAACGAACGTGGTTGTTTCATTCTGTGCAGTTGAAACTTTGAACAGTCTGGCAGCGTGTCAATAAATTGTATGGAAGAGGTTAAAGTGGTCGAGCTGTGTTCTGATGCGGAAGTGACTTTTACTGGAGTTGCGGTTTGAAGGAGTTTCCATGCATGATGCTTGTTACGTCAGTTTTGCTTACGCGTATGTCAAGCGTGCTAATCCACGGGGTGCTAACGTCTGTTACCGTTGAGCGTGATTCGCCGTATAACGAGACAGGGAAGGATACAAGCAGCCCTTATGGAATACTCCTTTTCTAGCTACATACCTGAGTCCTGGATATAAGTAAGAGATCTTTAGGTGTATACATACGTACAAATATCTTGACTGGATTTCGTTTCCTCTCCATACACGCATTGTTGTCTCGTTAGGCGGTGAATCTCCCTTGACGGTGACGGGCGTTACGAAATACATAGGTTGTATATGGACTCGTATGGCGGCGCAGATGTCTTTTCTTGCCTCTGTCGTGTGCTCAGGCTCTGGCATCTTACACTGTAAAGTGTATCCCGGGGCGCCTGACAGTGCGCGAGTATACTGCAGTCCATGGACACAAGTTCGATAGCTTAGGATCGATGGATGCTGAGTTGTAGCTACTAGATAAACACGTCTAAGTGCTTTACTAGGACATCATTTATAAGTGTTTTTTGTAAGGCCCCGGATATTTTGCCCACCCCTTAACTATATATTCAGTGAAGTCTACGATACCTACAGCGTATTCCTTAGGTAGTTATAATAGACTATTACAATATAGTTAGTACGCACTATATAACTATATAGAAGTAAAAAGATACAAGGTATAATAGTATTTAAAAAGATATAACGGTAAAAATATATACGAGCTCTAGAGTATACTACGGGGATATAGAGGTAAAAATATTTACGAGACCTAGAATATACTACGTAGGTATAGAGGCATAAATGTATACGAACACTAGAGTATACTACGAGGATTTAGAGGTATAGTTATATATATATAAAGTCTAGATATACTGTAAGAGTACGAAAATATGATATTCGAAGGCTTTAAAGGTATTTAGAAAGGGATAAATAAACAAATTATCTAAGAGTAGAAGATATATTATATAGGTTCACAAGTATATCAACACGTGGGGTGAGTAAAATATCTAGAGGGGACGGGCAAATTAGCCGGTGCCATAGGTACTGGTCTCCTACCTATTGGTGGGCTGTGACTTGCCTACCACCTACCAAAGAAATGTTGGAAGTCTAGATACAAAAGGTAGAAACAGTAGCATATCATACCTTGAAGAGTGAGATTTGAACAGTATTAACACGGGGGATTAACATTGGATGGAGACAAGTGTCGGTCTAGAGGCAGGAGACTTCAGTCGAAGGTAGTCGGCCGAAGTCTAGAAAGGGCGGTGTTAGGGGCTTGAAAGGGAGGTACGCAAGAAGCAGTAGCGATATACGCCCGGTAGCATCATAATTGAAGGTACGGTTTCATCATTTATATCGACAAGGCATTATTGGAGTAGCAATTATACAATGAGCTGCACCCCATTGTCTGAGAGCCTTGCATCCTCTTGGCATCTAAGGAGGCGGTCATCAACCCCCTCGTGCAGAAGTATCGGGCATGCTCGGATGGCGAGATAAGGTTATTCATTGCTTTGGTCACGGTTGTTCATGAGCGTTTCGCTTATGGTGAGAGTGAAAGGGGCAAGCTTCGCGAGAACACCAGGATGAGATGACAACTCTGGGGGCCAAAGGTGGCTTGGCATGCATGATGCAGCAGCGCACGTGAGGCGCATGAAACAACGACGGGGTGGGAGTTTCTCCCTGCTTCGAAACATGTTCTTTCCAATGTTGAGAGCACTCGGATCGCATCACTACCTTACCTACTCCTCAACACACGAGCGACGCTGACGTCGTTGCGGACCAGATGCCCCGCCATTCCAGTGTACCTATGCGATCCGGATACCTGTTTCCTCAATACACGACGAAATGGCAGTTTCGTGTGGTTCTTGAGAGCATTGGTCCTGGCTGTTAGCCTCAACGGTTGACATGGCAGAGATTAGTATCATCCGTCAGTCGTCGAGAGCATGATGTGGAGTAGAGTCTGGTATAGATGTCGGTATGGAGACCCCGTTTGCAGGGGTGAAAGAGAGCTCTTAGCCATGGCATCAGGAAGATTGGTATCAAATGATTCTCAAATGATCATGGTGTTGGGCTGGGCCGACTTCGGAGACCGAGGCACTTGCCAAACGCTAAACTTCCCCGGTCAGGTTCGGAAAATAATCAGCTCCAGCTTCATTCGTTGGAAGCACCGCCTCTGCTGCGAAAACCGCGCGAAGCTCGAACGACTCATTTTCGAGGTTTGTCGGAGAATTGTTTCGCAGCACAATCATCATGCTTCTCCCTCGGCTTGCTGCCGTGCCTTCTCGGCCGGCATTGAGCGCCAGATCGCAATGGAGATCCATGTAAGTCATCATGAATATAGCTCCGTTGCCACCCCCAATTGACCACAACTTTGCAGTCGCGCCCTCTCCTCCTCCGCTACCCGCCGTGACAATGGCCTCAACAACGTCTCCAAGGCCATTACCCAGCCCAAGTCGCAGGGCGCTTCGCAGGCCATGCTGTACGCCACTGGACTCAAGGAGGAGGACTTGAACAAGGCGCAGGTCGGCATTTCGTCTGTCTGGTACTCTGGCAACCCCTGCAACATGCACTTGCTCCAGCTCAACAACAAGATCAAGGAGGGTGTTGAGAGGGCTGGCCTCATCGGCATGCAGTTCAACACGATCGGTGTCAGTGACGGCATTTCCATGGGTACCAAGGGCATGAGATACTCGCTCCAGTCGAGGGACCTGATCGCGGACTCGATTGAGACCGTTATGGGCGGCCAATGGTACGATGCGAACATTTCCATCCCCGGTTGCGACAAGAACATGCCTGGTGTCGTCATGGCTATGGGGCGCGTCAACAGGCCGTCCATTATGGTGTATGGTGGTACCATTGCTCCTGGCTGCGGTAGGATGCCCAGGAACCCCAAGCTTGACATTGTCTCCGCTTTCCAGGCCTACGGACAGTTCATTACCGGCGAAATCAACGAAGAAGAGCGCTTCGACATTATCAGGCACGCCTGTCCCGGCGGTGGAGCCTGCGGTGGCATGTACACTGCCAACACTATGGCCAGCGCGCTTGAGATTATGGGAATGACCCTCCCCGGCTCCTCGTCTAACCCCGCCGAATCCAAGGCCAAGCAGCTCGAATGTCTGGCCGCCGGTGGCGCCATCAAGAACTTGCTGAAGGAGGACATTCGCCCTCGCGACATTATGACGCGCCAGGCTTTCGAAAACGCCATGGTCCTTGTGAACATCACGGGCGGCTCTACGAATGCCGTTCTCCACCTGATCGCCATCGCCGACTCTGTTGGCATTAAGCTCACTATTGACGACTTCCAGGCCGTCAGCGACCGCACTCCTTTCCTTGCGGACCTCAAGCCTTCGGGTAAGTACGTCATGGCGGATGTCTTCGACATTGGCGGGACTCCGGCCCTCATCAAGTTCATGCTCGCCGAGGGCATCATCGACGGCAACCAGATGACCGTTACCGGTAAGACGTTGAAACAGAACGTCGAGAAGGCTCCCGGCTTCCCCTCGGACCAGCAGATCATCCGTCCTCTTAGCAACCCTATTAAGAAGACTGGCCACCTTCAGATCCTGCGTGGCAGCCTTGCGCCAGAGGGGTGCGTTGGCAAGATCACCGGCAAGGAAGGGCTTCGGTTCGTGGGCAAGGCCAGGGTGTACGACGCCGAGGACGACTTCATCCAGTCGCTGGAGAAGGGTGAGATTAAGAAGGGCGAGAAGACGGTGGTGGTGATCCGGTACGAAGGCCCCAAGGGCGGCCCCGGTATGCCGGAGATGCTGAAGCCTAGCTCGGCCATTATGGGCGCTGGACTTGGCCAGGATGTTGCGCTCATCACCGATGGACGCTTCTCCGGCGGCTCGCACGGGTTCCTGATCGGCCACATAGTGCCCGAGGCGCAGGTTGGCGGACCCATTGGATTGGTGCGCGACGGCGACGAGATTGAAATCGACGCCGAGACGCGCGAGCTCAACCTGAAGGTGGGCGAGGAGGAGCTGGTGCGGCGACGGGCGGAGTGGCAGGCGCCGGCGCTCAAGTACAGCAAGGGCACGCTGTTCAAGTATGCGAAGCTGGTCAAGGACGCCAGCCACGGGTGCGTGACGGACGCCGAGTAGGTTTACGTAGGTACGTAGGAAAGCGGGTCCTGGGAGTTTGTAGCGTGGGATTGAGCAATCTTGCGGGTGGAGCAGGCGCCTTCAATCTTGTGCCATGGGCATAAATTAAACGGCAGATTGTCCTGATGCGGCGCGTGGCGCTACTCGGGGGCCCAGGGTCGGGGGCGGCTGATTGGACGGCGGGGCGTGGCCTCCCATTAACCGCCCGCCCGACCGTGATCGCCGGCTGGCTCGTTGCCTGCAAGTGGCCGCGGCGATCACAGTTCGGCCTCCTTGCATGCCCAGCAGTAATCACAATAATAACCCGTGAGGGTGAACGAGGCCGCAGGGCTGGGGAAAAAACGCGAGAGTTTGTATCAAAAGGTTTAGTTAAGCTGGCCATCCGCCAAAAGCGCCGTCCCCAAGCCTTTCGGCAATCCGCTCCGACCGCCTTGTCATTCCCGCCCTGCCCTGTCCTGCGCTGTGCTTCTGCTCCAGCTGCTGCTGGCTCACCCTCTCGCCTTTTGCTCTGCTCCGCCACGTCCCGTCTCTCGCACTCTCGCTCTTCCCCTCGCAACCTCCACCCTCTCCCCCAATCTTCCCACCCGCCGTAGCGCTGCGACGCCGTCCTGCCGTGTCTGGCCGCAAGTCTCATTTCGGTTAGTTAGCGATCTTACGGAGTATCCCAGCCTCTCCCAACCCTCGACCACCTCTCTCTTTCACCGGTCCCCCAAAAAGCGAGACGCCCGGCCGACGCTGCACCTCCACTGCCCTACCTCGACTGACGTCTCCCGCCGTCCTCGACCCTCCGCGCGCGTTGCTGCTTTGGGAAGCGTGATTTACTGCGACACGACACGCCCTCGACCGCGACACACAAAGCCCCATCGCCCGCTTCCAACACGACCCGTGGATTCAACCTCTCTCAAGTGCGGACGCCCTGCAGAGGCATCCATTGCCCCACATGAGCCAAGAGGCGGTGCGGTCATCCGCAGATCAGTCGACCGCGGTACACAAGCCCACGACCAGCGACAACGGCGAGGCCGTGGCGCCCCAGTCCAATGGCCCAAGTAAGTCGTCCCCCAACCCCACCGCCTCCCCGCTCCCCGCCTCGTGGCCTGCCATCGCAGCTGCTGTCGCTCCAGCCACAATCATGCTGACCGCTCTTCCGAAAGCCCACTCGGACCCGTCCAACCACCTCTCCGCCGACGACTCGAGGGGAGCTGAAGGGCGTTCCGGGTCAACGTCGGAGCAATCCGAAGGCCATCCCAAAAAGAAACGCTCGTTTTTGAACATTCCTCGATCTGGATCGCAGGCTGGCGAAGAGGCGACCGCGACCGGCTCTGGCCTCAGTGGAAACACGGTCGGCGACAACGCCGAAAGCATAGGAAAGGGCTCAAAGCGTAGCTTCCTTGGTAAGAGACGGGCTGGCAGCACGGCGAGCAGCAAACACTCTCAAAAGGCAAAGGCGCCCACGACCGAAAAGTCGACCGAACATGCGCAACCCTCCGGCGCGGCTGGATCCCCCCCGCAGACGCCCAAGAAGAAGGGCGGCATCTCGAAGCTCCTGTCCGTCCTCAGCTGCTGCGGCGTGCCGGAAGAGGGCAATGTAGTCGAGCACGAGGAGCAGGCAGAAGCGCCCAAGAAGGCGACCAAGCTACGCTCAGTGCGCAAGTCTCAGCCCACACCGCCTGCGTCGTCGAAGCAGAAGGACACCAGCGCGGCGGAATCGAGCATGGCTGATTCGAAGGATCCCGTTGACGAGAAGGCCGGCGAAGGTCACTACAACACGAGCGCTGGCGCAAGGCTCGCCAAGGACGGTCTCGAGAAGCCTCCACAGGGTGACGCACAGATGGACAAGCCCGTGCCTGAAGTCCCCGCCGAGGAACAGGCCGCTACTGAGGAGACTTATTCTCCTCCTCCTCAGGAGCAGCCGTTGCCCCCGGCGCCAGTCGAGCCTGAACATCTGGACGTCCACCATGACTCCGAATCCGGCCCGCAGGTCACCGTCCAGACGCCTACGCCATTGCCGGAAGAGGAGCAGCAGATTTCTGACAGGACCCCCGCGCAGCAGCAGAGGGATACGGACATTGAGATGACCGATGCCGGGCCATCGATACCAATTGCTGCGAACGAGGTCCCCGCAACCGAGGAAACTGGTCCTGAAGTTGTTCAGACCGAGGCGGCGCCTACGAAAATCGACCTACCGCCCCCTCCGCCCCTTGCCGATCGCCAAGCTCAGACCGCGGCGCCCGTACAACAAGTCACGCCCAAGAGCCAGGAGAGCTCGCTTGCTGTCAGTCCGGTTGAGCCTCCGCAGAAATGGCTGCTCCCGCCGATTAAGCCGGAGTTCAAGGGGAAGAAGTGTTTGGTGTTGGATTTGGATGAAACGCTGGTCCACAGCAGTTTCAAGGTGAGCTTGACGGTCGTCTGTGCGCCATTTACTAGACGCTGACATTTCGTAGATTCTCCACCAGGCTGATTTCACGATCCCGGTCGAGATTGAAGGGCAGTACCACAATGTCTACGTCATCAAGCGCCCCGGTGTGGATCAGTTCATGAAGCGCGTCGGTGAGCTTTACGAGGTTGTGGTCTTCACCGCGTCCGTGTCCAAGGTCAGCACGCATACACCCTTCGTTTTACGGTTTGCGATACTAACCTGAACAGTATGGCGATCCTCTTCTGGACCAGCTTGACATTCACGGTGTTGTGCACCACCGTCTCTTCCGTGAGAGCTGCTACAACCACCAGGGAAACTACGTTAAGGTGATTATTCCTTAGTTTACAGCGATTGGGTATGAATACTTACACGGTGCAGGATCTTTCTCAAGTCGGTCGCGACCTAAAGGAGACGATCATTATCGACAACTCGCCTACGTCTTACATTTTCCACCCGCAGCACGCCGTGCCCATCAGCAGCTGGTTCTCCGACGCACACGACAACGAGCTCTTGGATCTCATTCCTGTGCTCGAGGACCTTGCCGGCCCTCAGGTCAGCGACGTGAGCTTAGTGCTGGATGTTGCACTGTAAGTCAATTGCGGCAGAGATAGGCTGTTGCCAGCATAACCACCATCAAAGGCCACATTGACACCCCTCCAAGGACGCCCGGTGACTGCGTTACGCATGTCGAAAATCGAAGTCCCGTCTTTATGGCCCTCGAGGTATAATCCGTTACGCTGGATTCACAGTCATCGCCTCTCTGCTGGCCTTGCCATGCATCTTCTCATCATACGATCGATATCCTTCGAGCATCCTTATCAGGCTGCGTCGGCAACTAGCTAGACTGTACTGTTTAATCCGTGTAATCTGCATGACAGGAGAAGGGCATGCGTTCCTGGCGAACGACTGACACTATCCTCTCAATCGGATGCCATGGCCGCCCGTCACCCTCAGTGTAGGATCATCCCGACGGGTACTGTTCATACAGCCATGACCATCTGAACAATCGGACATCAAGAATCGGCGGGAAGCGAGAAAGCAAAAATGGGGCGTTTTGATTTCCATCTGCTGTTGCTGCTTTCCCATAGCCGTGTTGCTGTCTTGCTGTCCTGTAAAGGGCATTGCATACAACTGATTTTTCTCTCTCCTTTTTTCTTCCCTTTTTTTCTTTTTGGCTAGCATTGCGGAGCATTGGCACTTCTACAGTTTTCCTCTCGTATTTTTTTCTTCTCTTCTGTTTTACCCCCGTTATACCTCCTTTGCGATTGTTTTGACCGCAAGGATGGTGCTTGGTCTTCACCAGCTCTTTCTCAAGTGAGACTCTCCCACAAGAAACACAACAACACCACACCAACCAACCAACCACATTTCCTTTGTTACTCTTGCTACTTCGCGTTTCCTATCGTCTGATTTCCTTTCCCTTTTGCTTTTTTCGGCTCTTTTCCTTGTTTCCTGTCCCCTTTGATACCACGGCTTGTTGGCTTATTTGTGCTGCCTTCGAATACACATCCCCCCCAACCAACCAGCCTCGTTTCTGCAAAGAAGGACTTGCCTTGATAGATGTCATCGATGCATGTCCCGGCGCAGAGAGAGGATAGGTGGTGATCTTTGTTAGCTGGACGAGCGAAGATTAAAATAAACTGAATCCACCCCAAAACGGTGCGGTGCGTGCGCGTGTGTGCAGTGGCTTGCTTAAGGTGTTACGCATGCGGCAGCCAGACGGAGCAAGCTTTGCGGCTCTCGCTCTAGTAAAACAGTCAGCAGCCAGTGACACTAAACGTACCCTGAAACCTCTGAAGTGAACTGACTTGTGCACGGGTGAAGACGTCATTGCTGCTCGATTCGCGATCCCGCGACGCCCTGCATGTGCACGCGAGCCGCAGCGAACCCCAAGTTCTCCACACAAGCTTCGGCCGCTCCAAACCCTACCTCTCCACGCGCGACCGTCCGTTCTTCGACCGCAACTCGCACAACCAACTCGACCGCAAACACCATGGCCGACCAACCGCCGCCAACGCAAGACCAAGCCGCACCCGACACGGTACCTGCGCCCGCCGACCCCGACAGCAACGATGTCGCGCAGCAGCAGCATACAAGCACAGAGGCTGACTCAGCGGGAGGAAGCGGCGGTGCGAGGAGCAAGAGCGGCTGGGACGGGAAACTGCGCGTCGAGAAGAAGCCTGTCATTGTGAACCCAGAGGCGCTGAGCGACCCAGAGTACTCAGACGAGGATGCGCCGCCGACGGAGCAGATCGAGGCGGATGAAGGTGGGTGAAAGAGAATATATTGGACATGGGGAGACAGGCTGATATTTGAGCACGTCTAGACTTGCTGGAGGACTACGAGGAAGACGTCGACGTATGTGCGCTGCTTTGTGGTCGCAAGACTCGAGGCTGACGGGTGCGATGCAGCAAATCGACCTTATCCACTGCCGGATAACCTCGATTCCCGCGCTACGGCTTGAACGGTTCAAGGAAGTCAAGGTATGGCGCTCTGTCACGATATGACTCGTCGACGAGAAACAGTGTTAATTATCTGCCGCTGTTAGAGCCTCTCTCTTCGCCAGAACCAAATCTCCACCATCGAGTTCCCCAACAACATAGGCTCAACCGTAGAAGAGCTTGACCTCTATGACAACCTGATCGGCCATATCAAAGGCCTCGATAACTTCACCGAGCTCACTAACCTCGACCTTTCCTTCAACAAGATCAAGCATATCAAGCGCATCAATCATCTTAAGAAACTCCGCGATCTTTACTTTGTACAGAACAAGATATCCACCATCGAAGGCCTGGAGGGCCTCGATGTGCTACGCAACTTGGAACTGGGCGCAAACAGGGTGCGCGAGATACAGAACCTGGAGAGCCTGACAGCACTGGAGGAGCTGTGGCTGGGCAAGAACAAGATCACAGAGATCAAAGGGCTAGACACGCTCAGCAACCTCAAGATCCTCTCGATCCAGTCGAACCGGTTGACATCGATCACGGGGCTCAACAACCTGACGAACCTGGAGGAGCTGCACATATCGCACAACGCGCTGACGACGACCGAAGGACTCGAGAACAACGTGAACCTGCGCGTCATCGACATCACGGGCAACCCGATCGAGCACCTGACCAAGCTGGACAACCTCAAACAGCTCGAGGAGTTCTGGGCCAGCTACTGCAAGATCGCCGACTTCGCCGAGGTCGAGCGCGAGCTGCGCGACAAGGAAAACCTCGAGACTGTCTACTTCGAGGGCAACCCGCTGCAGCTGCGCCAGCCCGCCCTCTACCGGAACAAGGTCCGCCTGGCTCTGCCCCAGGTCAAGCAGATCGATGCCAGTAAGTCTCCCGCCGCCGTGCTGGGCGCCTGCTTTACTGGCTCTGCTTTTATCTAACCGTGTGCTGCAGCGTTTGTCAGGGTGTGAGCGCGTGCAAACCGCGTCGTTGGAGGCACTGCTGCTGCTGCTGCTACACGATGTCAGGGGAGGAGCGTCTCGCTTCGGCATGCATGATGGCGTTTTCTTGGACATGGCGCGGCTCACGGTCTGGAACAGATTGCTGCATGGCTCGGGGCGTACGAGGACGTAGAGGGTTTTCGGTTGGGGCATCTCGTTATTCTATTCGAGCAAGAGCGCGTATTTGATAATGAGGGCGTCGAGTAAGACTTGAGCTCTCATAGATATACCTATATCCCTTCCCAATGGCGGAGTATCAATGCCATCTGCGCCAACATAATCCGTTCTGTTACCTACGGACGTCTGACAGTTTGTGGGCATAATCGATGACGTGATGGTGGAGTCATTCCACGAGAGGACATCCAAGGACTCTAAGTTGTCTACTTTTTTCTTTTTTTGGCCAGCGCGCCTCCGCCGTCGTCGGAGCGGCGTCGTCAAGTGCGCAGGCCTGTGTAATCGTCATGACCCACCGTCCACAGCTATTTGTACATACAAGCGTCACGCGGCTCTCCCCCTCCTCCGCCGCAAAAAGATATAGAGAGGAGTTATAGCCTGAGAAAGAAGACTCCGGTGACATGCAACCCTATAAAGACAAGTGGCGTGGAATGTAGGGTAAAAAAAAAAAAAAATTGGAAGAGGGAAACAAAATTCGGGGAAACGCTCAAAACCAGGAAATCAATCAAGATCCCACGCAGTACGCCGCCGCCAAAGCATACAGGGTGAGGCTGCCGCCACCGTTTTTGTCCCTCCTCGGAGGGACCGAGGGTTATACTTTTGGGAGTATTACAGAAGGATGTGCTGGTTGTCGGCGCAATCGTCTCGGAGTGGGCTTTTTGGTATTGCACCTCGCGGTGCGTTTAGAAGACGACCTTCCTCACCATCTGCAGGGTTGTTTGTTAGCCAATGGTCCAGCATGATATGGAAGTGCCGCGTAAAAGCTTACCGCCCAAGACCCGGCCGCGCCGGCAACCAGAGCGCTGGAAATGGCCATGGGCCGGATGCCCCTCGAGCTCTTGAAGAGGGCGCCGCTCAATGCGCCAGCGAGGACGCTGTTGGTAGCGTCGTGCTTGCCGCGCCAGTAGCCGATGGTGGAGTTGAAGATGTTGTAGACCATGGCGATGACGCCAGCCGAGTTGCCGAGGAACGGGCCTCTGCGGGTAACGGCGTTGAGGACGGCGTTGAGGCGCAGGCGCGGCGAGGCCGTGGGCGCCGTCTTGTTCAGGCCCTCGAACATGCCCCACGCGCCGCCCAGCGACAGGGCCGTGAGGTACGTGGTGCCGGTGCCGTAGCAGAGGTCGTCGGACCAGCCGCGCGACGGTAATGCCGACTGTGCGCCTGGCAGGTCCGACAGCGCGCCCTCCTCGACCGTCAGGTAGTCGAGCGTCTCCTGGTTCAGGCCGGCCAGCGGGTGCAGCGACGACGCGTCGAAGCTGTCGTTGAGGAACGACGAGACATCGGGAGCCGGCTGAGCCTCGAAGGCGGCGGGCGGCGAGTCGGCGCGCTGCTGCTGCTGCTCCTGCGAAGACTTGGTCTTGCGCCCGGTAAATGCGTCCCAGATGCTCATGTTGACTGGTTTGATGGGCGTGAACGCGGGCGGGGGCGAGGGAGGATGGCGAGGGAAGAGAGAGGGAAAGCTGATTGCGTCTTTGCTTGCTTTGCGGCGGCTAGTTCGTAAGAAAGTCGGCGCCGACCAAAAAATCGCAAACGCACGCCAAGCCCCGCGCCCGATATTTCCCATGCAGTCCCGTGATGTCAATCATCACCAGCAGCAATCCTGGAGCAGCAAGCTGAAGCCGGAGTGAGCTGCCAGAATGTCGCCGGCCCTGTCTGTCCCCGTCCCCGTTCTCTTTCTGCAGAAGCTGAGCAAGGAACTGGCCGCCTGCGTCCCTGCCAATGGCGCATCTGTCTCGGATGAAAGCGTAAAGTAAGAGGAAATAAACCCAGTGTTAGCATGGTCTGCGGCCATTGCCATGTCTCGCCTATCCTTGCATCCACTAACCCGCGGCGAAGGAGCCTTTCCGATCTGCTGGATGCACTGGTCGAGACCGCCGCCCTGGTCAACATCACGGCATCGCACAGGGCAGGCGCCTGCAACCCTCTCTGCTCCCTGCTCGAAAAATGTCAGGCTTCGTCTCACAAGAGCATTTCCTCCTTGATCTGGACGAAAAACATCTGGAGAAACCTCTTCGATATTTTTCTGGACCGCGTCGACAACTCCAAGCCCAAGTCCTCGAGGCAGGTCTTGGTTCTTCTGACCTCTTTGCTCCTGAAAGATGGAACTTCTAGGGCGCAGGAGCTGCGTGACGAGACAACTCTCAAATTGTTCGAGATCCTGTTCACAGAGGGCGACCATTCCAGAGTTAAGCCTGCCCTGCAGGCACTGGCCCATTTCGTGCAAAAAGAGTTGATGTCTGTCGATGAGCTGCTCACCAAGTTTGACCAATGGCGCTCCGGCCGTGTAGTTCTGTGTCAGCAGTTCTCCGGAGCCAACAGTGCACCAAAAGCATTCATTTTTGGCATCATGAACTGGGTATCACACCAAGATACGACTCCAGCAGCCGGAAACATGATCTGCACTGTTCTCAATTACGGCCGTCAGCAGAAGGTGGAACAAATGATTACCGCAAATGCACAAGCTCCGGTGTGGGTTGAACCGTTGGAGTCCACTATACGTAGGAATCCGGACTCACTGCACAACTTTAAGAGCCATGTCTTTCCCGATCTGTTCAAGCCAATGCTTTCCGATTACCTGCAATTTTTGGAGTACCTACATTTGGATAACCATGTTCGCTTGAGGCCGAGCACAGGTCAAGAACACGAACAGTCTGATGAACTGGAAGCGTCACTGTTGTTCAATGCGTTGCAGGTCGGGAAAGACATAGGAATCGTTGTAGAAGTCGGTAAGTGGTGTAGCCTGTCAAGATTGGGAGTCTCAACTGACTCCTGAAGACTACCGAAAATGCCCCAGGATAGAGATCCGTGACGGGAAGGTATCGATTCCAGACAGGCTCTTGGGAAGGCTTTTATGCCATGAACGACCAGAGACCAGACTAGCAGCTCTCTATCTGCTCGTCACGACCGTGGCAGTAACGCGGCCCTTTACTGTCGAGACTTTCAACTTGCTCAAGCGCAATTTGCCCTACCTCCACGCTGACACCGACGCCAACTTCCGTGGTGAAATCGCCAGTCTTACTCTGCAAATGGTTGATCGACTGCGCGCCGCCATTGCGCATCTCAGCAAAGGCAACGAGGGAAGACCTAGAGCAAGCAAACGAGCCAAGACATCAGCACAGGATGTCTCTGTCGCTCCTGCTGTAGACATCATTGATACAGCTGCGATCTTGAAAGCTCATACCGAATTCATCAAATGGTTTCTCCAGTTCTTGACATCTGAGCTCCATCCCACCGCGGCATACCAACGCCATGTGTCCGCACTTAAATCACTGACACATGTCATGAAATCGGGATTGGATCCAACGGTACCACAGAAGGCTCTATCCAAAGCGGCGCAGGAGCAAATTAAGTGGCCATACCACATTGTTATCCTTACCCCCGAGCTAGTTCGCGTACTGTTCGATCTCATGATGGATCCTTTTGACGATGTCCGTCATGCTGCCTCGCTCTTACTGAAGCTTGGATCTCTGGAGAAGTCAAAGACCGACCAGAGGCAACCGAGCGGGCCTGTTCTGAACCAGAAAGCTGAGAACGCCGATCCGGCGACCCTTATTGAACATGCTTTCTCGCAGTTTTTGGAGAGGGCTGAGAAGATCATGCTGCGTAGTGGGCGGGCTGATCATGCAGATGGCGTGGCTCGCGCGTACGAGCTCTTGTTTGAGAGGCGTGGTGGAGAACTTGGGCCGGATTCTCGCGCGGCGAAAGCGCCTGTGGAGTGGATGAGGACGCGCCAAGGCATTGTTGACCATCTGATGCAGATGCTAGACGCTACTATTTCTGCGGCAAGTAGCAACCTGTCTATTGCTGTCAACCAGTATCCTATGCATGGTATCCTGTCTGGGCTGAGGTAAGGTGGTTGAGCTCATCGAGTTTTTTCCTGCTAATTCGGGAATAGATACATTGTTGATCAGCCAGAGTTCTACGGCACAATGGCTCAGATGGATGCTCAAGAGATTGAGCAGTGGAAGGCACTTCACAGCCGTATGCTTGTCGGCCTTCGGTCGATCTGGACATGTGTAAGGGATGTACTCTGCAATGATGCTCCTGAAGGCCATGTACCGGATGACATGGAGGAGGAGCCTGATTTGACGACCAAGGATATCCTCAGCTATTCTTGGAGAGCCCTTAAGGAGGCAAGGTGAGTGTCACTTTTATCAGTGATCGTTAAGACACTAATATCGTTAGTTCATTGCTGCGCGTGATTGTTTCCAAGGCACCTTTCGAGCTGTCCAACGGGGCTGTCATTCTCGAAAGTTCAGACTTTGAAAGTTTGGGTAAGCTCTGTTTTGTGCAGTTGGCTGAGCTCCGCCATCGCGGTGCCTTCTCAACTGTAGCCCAAACTTTTGCAGCTTGCTGTTTGCGTTGCAGCCGGTCAAAGAACGGCGAGATTCGTGGGTTGCTCGTGCGGTGGTATGAGGTATAAAAATCTGCCATACATCTGTCTACATCTACTCTGATCTGACGGTCTACAGGAAACTCTCCTCTGCATCAGAGACAAGGGTGCTATGATTACCCGGCGCTCGGCAGGCTTACCTTCTCTTATCACTGGTATCTGTTGCGCTGCACCTGAAGGCCCTCTGTTCGAGCGCATCATGAGAGATCTCAAGTACGAAGCAAGTCAAGAAGGAGAAAACTCCAACATCGATGGCAGCCACCTTCCTCAAGTTCATGCACTCAACTGCCTTAAAGACGTCTTCACGAACACTAGACTTGCGCAGCCTTCGGAGCCGCATATTGGTGAGGCTCTATCGCTGGCTGGAAGCAGACTGGAGTCCAACGTGTGGGCAATTCGTAACTGTGGCTTGATGCTCTTCCGCGCCCTTATCGACCGCCTTTTGGGTAGCGGTACGACACAAAATTGGAAGGAAACGGACCGCCTCAAGGTTTCTCGTCTCTCTTACAAGCGCTACCCCAACCTGCTGGACATCATTGTCCAGCTCTTGACCCCTAGGACCGAATCCGGAAATGTCGGGACACAAGACCTTACAGCGACTGCTCTTGAGGGTGTCTTCCCTGCACTTCAGATTCTGCAGCGTGCTAGGCCTCCGGTCGACAGACGGTCTGAGGTGCAGCAGTTGGTGTTGGCGCTGACGGGAAGCACCCATTGGCATGTTCGCGATATGGCTGCCCGGACGATTGCGGCGCTGCTTGGTCAAGAGGAGCGGGTTGAGTGGGTTCTTGCGCTGCTGGAATCGGAATTCTTGGGACAGAATGGCCTGCATGGTATGCTCTCGACTGTTAAGTATCTCGTGAAGCAGTCATGCGAGGAGGGCGATAAGGACCTCAAGGGTACGTGACACCAAGTTCTCGAAGGTAGCTTTACTGACTGTCGCAGATGATCTCGATCTTTTCTGTTTTGCCATGTCTGAGCAGTATGAACGCCTCTTCAAGAAGAACAACTGCTCTTACACCAAGGGTGCTTATGTCGACATCCTCAATCTGATCCTCACTCACGCTATCATGAACAAGCTTCCTATAGGTAAGTCTAGGTTATCAAATGCAGTCGATGCCTTTAGCCTAATTCTATATGCAGGATACTACGATGGTCTTCTGGAAGATTGGGATGAGATAGTGTGCCACCAAGCGAAGACTGTGGGAACTTCACCCTTAAGACGAGCGCTTACACTGGGCAGCTGCCTTGAGAAGATCCACAAGTCTTTGACAGGAACCAGTCGCACGGCCCAGGTAGGAGAACTGAGCAAGGACTTGTTGCATTTCTACCACGGCCACGAAAAATCGGACAGCATAGCGGGTACCAGTATCATTGTGGTAGAGGGCCTGGCTCCTGTTCTGTCTCCAATTATTGCCCAATCTTCCAAGGAATTCCAAGGTTCCATCGCAAAGTTCTTTTGGGCAGTAGGGAACGATACCGACAATGTTGAGCGCGCCGCGGCAGCTCGCCAGGCATTGGCTGAGCTCGTTGACAACGGACTTCCAGTCTCTTCTCTGGAGGCTGCACGCAAGGTGAACTCTGAGAACCCCGACCTGGTTTCCTTGCCGATGGGACACGATTCACCTTCGTTCGCCGAAGGGACCTTGCGCTTGACAGGGCCAATCTTGGACTTGAGGAGTCGTGAGGAAAAACCTGAAAAGCTTGTGTCAGAACTCCAAAACTTCGTGTGTAGATTGGAGTGCGACCTGCACGAGGAAAACGTATGTTTACCCAATCTTACCCGCACCAAAGTCTCTATAGCTAATGACTCCGTAGCCTTTCCCAACTCGGTATGCTGCCGTATCCTCTCTAGCAGCGCTAGAATATATTTGGACGCGCGACTGGAGAGGCACTGCGCTCGAGCAGCCCATCCTCGACCTCAGTCTCGTGGTCTACGCCGCCCTCAACGACGACGAAGATGAGATCCGCGACGTCGCCGCCTCCGTCGTACCTCGCATCATCGCCGGGCCGCGTTACACCCCCTCAGCCAAAACAGTGGTCCCGCTCACGGCGGCGCGCAAATTGTCGCTGCGCCTAGCGCACACGTACGCGCAAAGCGAGCGTCTGTGTCGCGCCGCCGTCGAGAAGATGCTCGACAGCGAGAGCGGCAAAGAGGACAATGCGCCCAAGGCGCTGGCACTGAGCGTGCAGGCGCTACTAGAGCGCGCACGCAAGGAGAGCACGGCACTGTTTGCGCGTGAAAAGCAGAACCTTTTCGTGGATCCCGTGCGCGAGGCCGTGGTGTGGTGCGCTGCACTGGAGCAGCTCGCGCCGGCGGCGGTGCCGCGGGACTTGGCGCGTACGCTGGGTGAATGGGTTGTTCGCGGGTTGGCGGTTCTGACTGAGACGGCGAAGCGTGATCACGATGGCGCGTTGGGGTGGGCGAGCAAGGCCGAGGTGTGGACGCTAGGGATGCGGGTACTGTGTGCAGCAGATGTGTTGCTGGCTTGGCGGGCGAAGACAAGGAGAGTGAGGGTTAAGAGCTCTAGTGTTAAGAGGGCGATGAGGGAGTTTGCGGATGCGGGGGTCGAGGCCGATGTCCATGGGCTTTTGGTGGCGAGTGCGGAGCAGGTTTTGGCGGAGTCGGTGGTGGAGAAGCTGAGGCTGGTGAGGAAGCGGTTGATTGAGGTTGTGGGGAGTGAGAATGTGGTGTAAGAATGGGTGTGGTGAATACAAACGATAGACGGAAGACAAAAAAGTATTCTGTCCCTTATCTATTCAGGCTGCTTAAGCTCCGAAATCGCACTTTACATAACCTTGAGCACATTTTTTTTGTACCATTTGTTATATATACGAAAATGCGGAGAACATGAAAGTGCTTATAAGGACATGAGTATATAAATATAAAGAACGAAAATATTTTATAAAGGTATGCGATTAAAATATACAAGGGTACAAAAATATTCGTAGAGGTATAAATACAATAATATAGAAGGATTCGAGGGCATCTTAAAAGAATGTTAGAATACAAGAGTGACAAGGTAAGAAAAGAAGACACAGAGCGTCGAACAGCCAGGAAGAAGAGGTGAAGTGGACAAAATGATCAGAAAGTGTGAATGGATTTTTTCTATATTATCACAACAAACAGTATCCATTACATCAACATCAGTCCTATGGTCTAGTGGTATGACGCTTCCTTCACACAGTTCGCTCTGTCTGAGGATTCGGAAGAGGTCCTGGGTTCGATCCCCAGTGGGACTACATTTTTTCTTTTTTCTTTTTTGCTCCTCGAGATGCAACGACCCATCATCCATCCATCCATCCCAGGTTGCCAGCAAAATCTTGTGTGCGCGACGTCAACTGCAAACAAAGTCTTACTTTTAACGCTACAACTAACCCCGCCATGAAAATTTGTTCTGTTTTCCTCAATCACAAAACCCACACATTTTCAATGACTTCTCCACGAATGTTTGCTGCCATAGCAAATGCATTGGAAGTAAGTTAACTTGGCCATCCATCTTTAACTCCAGCGTGCATTGTTGCAAGACTTGAAGCCGTAGCAAATACCAGATACCGACCGGTGGGGAGCCTGCTTGAGACTTAAATTTTGATGCCATTAGAAGAGACCTTTGCTCAGCTATTGTTTGTCTCCAACTACGCGCAGAGCTCCTCATGCAGTTGTGGATCGGCCACGATTAGCCCCGCTCGGGCTTTATGGGACCGAGCTGAATTTCTGCACTGGCCAAGAGGCCGGACCAGCACGCCAGTGACGTACATTTGGAATTCCTGGCGAGGACTCGGAAGGAACCGACTACGGGAGGCGTTCTGGATTTTGTGTGGCTTTTGGTTATGATATCAACACCACACGACTACTCGAGTACCTACTGGATCATGGACATGGACAGCCCTTTGACAGCCTACCAAATCAAACACGATTCGAGATGATGATCTCTCTCGTCGGGATTGCTCGATACGAGTACCAACGTGGTCGCCAACCGGGGGTCGCTCTTGGCATTCCCCTCGGGAAGCCCGATGCGCTTTGCGACTGGCAGCATTGAGATTTGCTTCCGGTCCAGGCTATTCTGAGGTGCAGTTCCGGCCGTGGGGGCTCAATCGAGACCGTCAGTGGCACAGCCTCCTAGGGGATCTCGGAGTGCTTTGCAATGGTTCAGTCTGAAACGATCGCTGCCCCGAAGATTTGAGAGACATCGTCTTGCGATCCGTCACGGACGGTGCGCTTCGGCTGTCATTCGACCATGGATACATTTCTGCTACTATTTTGGAGCGATAACCACCACTCGCACGCGGCGGCCCGTGTCTTGCGCTAGGCCTGTTCCTGGACGTTCCCCCATGTGCCCTGCGGTCCCGCACTCAGCAGGGCGTTCGCTTCGTATACCAGGTTGTTGTCTTCGCGAAGAGGAGATTGCATATCCTCTTGTGGAAAGGTGGGCATTGCATGGCCGCCCATACGAACACCAAGCCTCGATCAACACCATTTGTCATGTCAGTCACGACTTATACGTAAGAAGCCTATACCAAGCCGACCGGACAATGGCGCCGACTCTGGGGCGCTGGAGAGAGCCGTGCATCTGGGGGTCCGGTAGGCGCATACCGACGGTTTGCTGCATCGCTACGTTCTCGAGCAGGTCAGCACCCAGAACAACCATCCCCATCGCTTAGTTATGTCCCGAAACGGCATGCTTGCTGCCTCTAGGACGGCTTGGCGAACCACTCGTCGGAGAGCTGGGTCCGTGTAGGTGGCGGCTTGCAGGGGATTGTGCTCCTTTCTCTATCACCATGCATGCAAGCGCCCTCCCGATTTCTGCGCCTCTCACTATGGCGGCAGTCTGACAGCTGAGCCAGCCTTCATTGCTAGCGCCTAGGTTTTCGTTCGTTTCATTGTTTTGTTCTCCACAGCCGCCTTCAGCAGTGAACTGCGTCCCCATTCTTTTCCTCACTTCCCTGCCGATCTTTCCCACTCTTCGGGCTTGTTGCTGAGTTCGGTCTTATCGACATCCCAGGCTGTTCGCTTTCGGTCACTTGAACGGATCAGGGCCCTTAAGCGTTTCCACTATCGCCTGCGCCATTCATGGTAGACTATACGAAGTCCGCTCCTTGCTGTCATAAAAACGTCCCGACAGCCCAACATTTGATTCCCTAGACGCAATTTCCGTCACCTTCCCACACCTGACATTCTTTTTCCTATAGAGAGGGGTGTTTTTCCTTTACATTTTCTCTATTGTCCCTCATTTCACTGCTAGTGCAAGCTTTACACTCTTTTCCACCCACATATTCTATTTGGAAAACACTCTTTGATTTTTCTCAGCACTATTACTTTGTAGTGCAACAGCTTTTTTTTTTTTTTTCAATCACTATCATTACGCTTAACTTTAATCATGGGTTGGTTCGGAAGTCTCGACCTTGCGTGGAAGCTCACGTAAGTTTACCAGGACAAGTCAGGTGTACAATTACTGACTTTGCGACTTGTAGAACGGTGTTTGCCTGTTTATTGGTAGCCACTCTAGCAGCAGGTTTCATAAAACTTGCTATAGACAGGAGAAAGTAAGAGCGTCTTTACCCGGGTTTTCCTGTGGTAATACTAAGAGGGTTTTACAGGATGAATCAGCTTCTGGCGAAGAAGGCTGCAGACCTTGAGCAAAACAACGACCAACATGGCCTGTCCGAGAAAGTAAAAGAGGAGGGCGACCTCTTCGGCATCCGAGCACTGGAAGCTGGATTTTATGGCGGCATAGCTCAGTCTCGCCCAGGCACGCCGCTTGTCTCTGCTGCCAACACACCGAAACTCATCTCGCCCGCAACCAGCGTTCTTGACCTGAGCGAGTCGCAACCGTCCTCTTCTTCCAACTCCATCAAGAACCCGTCATCATCGTCAAGATGTCTTACACCAAAGATGACACTGGACCCTTCAGACGCGGAGCGTATCGGCAGAGTGAACCACAACACTGTCAACATGAGCCTTACGGTCCCGCCATCACCCAAGCCATCCGCACAATCTGGCAACGAAGGTGCCTCGCCGGCCATGTCTCAGGCCACAAAGACTCCGGTTTTTGCGCACAAGGGAACCGAGTCCCCAGAAATTCTCGAGCCAAAAGCGTACGTCCCATACTCTCCTCCGCGAATTCCTGTAATGGACGCTATCTCACACACGTCATGGCGACCTGCAGGAATTAACGGAGAGGGTATCAACACCACATCCGTGGTAGTCTCCAAAAACTATACCCCCGACGCCACACCAATAAATAGCGAACCTTCTTCTCCCATCATGCCTTTCCCTGCCAAGCTTAGTGAGGCTTCCATATTACGCCGCTCCAAGATGCAACCGTGCCCAACATTGCCAACCGAGCGAGTTTTCAAAGATGAAGGAGATTCTCAGCCCATTGATACTGTTCGTTCGGGTAAGTAACTTTCAGTTAACTTTTGCCCTGAGCCTAGGCGCTGAGCCGTAAGTAGAAAGCTACGACATGCCTGCTGTCGACCATAATGATTATGCCCTCAAACACCAAAACTACCGACATGCGCAAACCTGTGACATCAGCAAGACCGAGAGTTTGTACAGCACCGACTCCCAGCGTATCAGCACAGTGTTTCGCCAATCGTCTGTCTCCAGTTTTTCACTGTCGCTTGATAGCAGTTTCGATAGCTTCGATAGCGAAATTTCTCCTGCCGCCAGTCCGATAAGTCGGCGCCTCACTTTTGGGGATAGCCTTGATGGCGTACCAGACTTTGGCAATGATCCGATCCTCAGCGATTTCTACGATGCGTACTATCGCAACTCGATCGGCCCTGTGCAGAACTTGGAGATGGCGTATGTACCGGACAAGTTGCACGTGCCGAGACATTCGACGATCTTCGAGGTGCCGACGCCTTTGGCAAGCCCTCTCATGAGCCCGGACCCGCAGCATGATCCTTCAGGCTCACGATTCACCGGTGTGGGCCTTGCTCGATAGTGATATGAGGCGGCTGTACGATGTGAAGCGTTATAGCGGCAGATTTGGCAAAGTTGTGTCGTTGATGAGCGAGTGTTTTGTTTGAAAAGCCGTCGGCCACTGGAGAGTATCATCTGTAATGGGTGGGATTTGGTTGGCGAAACCGCAGGCCGTTAATAATTCATGCTGTGCTATAGACGCAATGGCACAAGTCAGAGGGTAATTCTAATCACGTTTCATTGTAATTCGATAGTCTTGGATGGATCAATGGCAAGGCTAAGAAGGACGAAGAAAAAAATTGGCTTTCCAATTGACATGTGATGGAATGACCCTTGAGCAGTGGGCGTTGCTCGCTCAGTTGTCCATTGCCTCTTGGGGCAACGGTGCGACGGACATCGCTCCGGCTTGCTGCAAAGAGCAAAGAAGCTCTCACAAGTCATTTCCCCACGGCGTCGTGTGGGATGGAAAACCGTTGACCATGGGCGCACCATGGGCTGACCAGCACGTGTTAATCGTGGTATGCAGCACGAATCAAAGCCGCGCTGCACGACTCCCCCTTTCTCACCGCCTGCCTAGTCAGCCAGTGACATTGTGCCTATCACCAAAGACGTGCCATCGGCCTTGCAACGTTCTTATTGCGGCCCTTCCTCCTTCTTTTTTTCCGCTCCTCTTGATCGCGCTGCGGACAATCCCCTAGAATTTCAGTTTTGACTAGCCCGCCTGCCTTTTACCTAGTCGGCTTCGCGCTGTCGCTACCCTCGCTCTCCTCCGTCCTCTCCGCAAAACCTCCGGAATCTGTCCCTCGACATCATCAGACCACCCCACTCGCCCCGGAACCGCCAGAAACATGCCAATGATTTTCGACCGCACGCCTTCGTCGGCCTCTGAGAAGCAGCCTCTTTTGGCGGAAGACGGACATTTGCACGAGGAACGTCGCAGGCTGCACCATGATGCCGACGTGGTGATCATCGGTGCCGGCGTCTTTGGCAGCGCCGCTGCCGTCGCGCTGGCACGACAGGGCAGGAGCGTCATTCTGCTGGAGAAGAGCCTTAAGATGCCAGACAGGATCGTGGGAGAGTTGCTGCAGCCGGGTGGCGTGCAGGCACTGAAGGAGTTGGGTTTGGAGGGTAGGTTTTGCGATCTTTCTTAAGATAATTGGCTACGACGGCTAGCGAACAAGGGAAGCGCGAGTGAGCTCGAAGCCCTGAAAAGCGAGCGCGGAGTTACCACAGCGGACAGCACGTTCTGTTAGGAGAATGTCTAAGAATGACACGCTAACACTGGTCTCAGACTGTCTCGAAGGCATCGATTCGGTGGCGTGCTTTGGCTACGAAGTCATCTACTATGGCCAGGGTGTCGATATCCCATACCCAGCAACGAACAACAAGAAGCCGGAGGGCCGGGCTTTCCACCATGGACGCTTCATTCAGAAGCTTCGCGAGGCAGCAATGATGGAGCCGAATGTCACGGTAGTCGAGACGGAGGCCAAGGACTTGATCAGAAATGGGTGGTCTGGGCAGGTGCTCGGTGTGGAGTGTTTGACGAAGGTCGAGAACGAGAAATACGAGAAAGACTACGTAAGTGTCAGGTTGCATCCAGGAATTGGTTTGAAGACCGCTGAAACGTGCTAGTATTTCGGTCATGTTACTCTCGTCGCCGACGGCTATGCCTCGAAATTCCGCAAGCAAAACCACCCGCACACCCCTCAAGTCCGCTCGAAGTTCTTCGCTCTGGAGCTTATCGACGCCCAGCTGCCATTGCCTCAACATGGCCATGTTGTCCTTACGGAGGGCCCGCCTGTCCTGCTTTACCAAATCGGTACGCATGAAACGCGTGCGCTGATTGATGTCCCTGAAGGCCTGCCCTCGGCATCCGTCAAGAACGGCGGAATCAAGAACCACCTGCAGAATGTCGTCCTCCCCTCTCTGCCGGAATGCGTGAGGCCTAGCTTTAAGGCGGCAATGGACCAGGGCAAGCTTCGCAGCATGCCAAACTCTTTCCTTCCTTCCTCGACAAACCGCATTCCGGGCCTGATCATCGCAGGCGATGCACTGAACATGCGACACCCCCTGACTGGCGGTGGTATGACGGTGGCTTTCCACGATGTGGTACTCCTGTCGAAATTGCTGCACCCGTCGAATGTGCCAGAGCTTTCGAGCACGAAGCTCGTGCTGAAGCAGATGAAGGCATTCCACTGGCAACGCAAGAACTGGGCAGCAGTCATTAACATCCTGGCTCTGGCGTTGTACGCGCTGTTTGCTGCTGATGGTGCGTTTTACCCTTATATCAACATTTTCAAGGCTAACTTTTGTGGCACAGACTCTGCTTTAAAGGCCTTGCAACTTGGGTGCTTCCGTTACTTCCAGCGTGGTGGCAACTGCGTCGACGGCCCTGTCGGCCTTCTCGCAGGCATTATCCGCCAACCGCTTGTTCTCGTCTATCACTTCTTCGCCGTCGCACTTTACGCTATCTGGATTCGCTTCTGTGAAGCACCGTTATACCTCAAGCCTTGGGCACTCATCAGCAGCGTGGCCATATTCTACAAGGCTTGCATTGTCATTTTCCCTTACATCTGGTGCGAGCTCAGGCCGTAAAGACGACCTGAGTTGATGGGAGATTAGAGCGGAAAGAAAGGGGTTCTTGGCGTCGGCATTCATACCATGTTAATCAGAGTGCGGTGGCTGTACATATCGTGCTTCGCGAGACATGGCTGCCACAGATGGATGGTTAAGACTTTTACGAGAGGTCGGGCGTTTAGACATGGGAGGACGATTTGACGTCGGATTGTGGGTTACGCTTTTTATTATGAGAAGATGAGGCTAGGACTTCATTCAAGACTAAGTAGCATTTAATCGGTAATTAAAAATTCCTTTCTACTATCTGTTGGATATTATCAAACTTTATATGCCCCTCGTGAGTGTTTTGTCTAGACGGTTCTGCATATACCTTGGGAAAAGTCAAAGTTGTTCTTTTATATTTGCTTACAGGGGTGTGGAGACATAAATAGGTATTTTCAAGCATCTGGTTTCGAGGCGATTTGAATCGAATTCACTCTCGAAGAGGCTATTCTACTGTAGGGACCTAACATACCTGCACTCCTGTAGTATACTGCTCACCGAGGGGTGCAAAATAAGCTTGTAGTCTTTGCAAATACTTAAATCCGGAGGGACATGATATAGCATAGTCTTTATGGAATGCCGCTCACCGTAAGGATATGGATAAGTCCGTCAGGACTTGCAGATATCTGAGTCGGAGTAGCATGGTATACTTCTAATTCTATCAAGGGACGTATGCCATGTGGACGTTAATATCATTACCGCACCTGCGGTGGGATGCTTCGTCCTTACGAAAACAACGTCATATACACAACAAAGAAAAGCTTTTTAACAACATCCGTTGTGGTCTAGTGGCTAGGATTTGCCGCTCTCATCACAAGAGCAAAAACACTCTAACAGGTGCCGGCAAGGCCGGGGTTCGATTCCCCGCAACGGAATTGCCTTTTGCTTTTTGCGCAATTGATTTTTTCTTTTTGCCGGAGCTGGGTCGAGGTTGCTTTTGGTCCGGTCGAAGAAGGAGCGTTTCGGTGCGAAGCAAGCGGGCTGCGTCGGTATCTGTCCTTGACTAGTTCGACGTTACAGAGTGATTTAAAGGATGATGCATATGATCCTGCTTACTAGGGAGAAGGACCGGCATATGCTGATAGATAGTATAAACGTGCTCTATTACGGACAATGTGTCTACATGACTTGAAGGTATGTACGTGTTACTATATTATTCTAATCTTAATAACGGTGGCCGCTTTGCGACCAGATAAATAACTCTGCGTATAGCTGAAGGGATTGTTTTATAGAGTAATAATTTACCTTTCGATAGAGACATTATTGAGTTCTGTATGCTATGGCATAAGCAGCTCCCAGGCAGTATAATGATGGGCAGGTTGTAGCTGCCGAAACAGTCTGGGATGTAGATAGATTTATAATTTTGCGAAGTTTTGCAAGCGGCTTCTATGCAGATGCTGCTGAGCAGAATCATTTATGGCTTGAATCTTCTTCTGTCTGGTTAACGTCTTGCATTTACTACAGGTTTGGTTCACTTCATGATTGCGCACTGAAGATAGGCGCAAAATCAGACACTTGAGCCTTCGTGGTGTTGGAGTTACGATCTCGTGCAATGATTGGTCGCGGTTAACGAGCCGATCAACTGTCAGGCATGGGGAGCCCCTCACCAAAAAACGCTCCAACTCCCGTGTCCCCATGCCTGCTGTCTGTGCTGGCACAAATGTAAAGTACATAAACCCAAATGCAACAATCTTCCTTATCGACAGCCAGTAATGGCATCGGGTTTGTGGTCTAGTGGTATGATACTCCCTTAGCACTATCATCACACCTTGTGAAGTCCTATATGGGAGTGGTCCCGGGTTCAATTCCCGGCGAATCCAATAACCAGGTTCAATTCCTGGGTCATCTTTTTTTTTTCACCCCCCCATCGCCGCAACCTACACGGGAAATCTGTCTGCGAAGGATTCCATATTCCAGAATTTTTAGTCCAGAATAGCTTGGTACGCGCAGCTACGATCTAACCTATCTATGATCAGAGTACCGATTTAATTAACTTTAATCACATGTAGTGAATGATCCACGTCCGTAAAGAGACTCCTTGACGCAAAGTGGGAGCATTCATGCATATCAAGCAGGGAGTTGCTCGCAATCCTTCGACTGCAATCTGCAAGCTACCGGCACACCATTCGTTCGCAGACGTGTCAAGCAGCAGAAACCACACGATCGGATTTTTGGCTAACGAACTCCGGACAGCGAAACCAGGTTTCAGGCCGACCACGGCATGCATTCCGAGACGGAGCGTGCATGACGCACCCGGCGCAAGCAAGCCACCCGCACTAGATGCAGTTGTCTCACTAGAGTAAAGCCCCAAGAGGTTCCACACGGGGGGGAGAGCGCAGAGATCTGTCCACCGACCAGCACAGCATTCATTAAGATCTTGGAAGATTACTTGCGGGAGGGCGCAGCATCAGAAACAAGACGGACGCTGTGGATGGCAGCAGCAGTGGCCCATGTAACCGTGGTGGGTAGTGCTACGTGCGGGTGGTGGGCAGGTCGCCGGAAGGGGATGCAGGGAGCCGGACGGACACCGCACGCCTACATTTCTGAGACTGCTTATCGATGGGTAGGCGCTTGAGGCCTGGACACGACGGCAGTGGAAAGGGTGGGTGGGGGTTAGCGGGATGGGGTGTGCGGGATGTGGTGTGGGTGTGGATGTGCTTTTTAGGCTGGACTATGATCCCGAAGGGGGGAGGAACTTGGAAGCCGCAGGCACAGAAAGCGGAAAAAAGTGCCTCTGTGGCTGTGAGCGACGACATCGCGCCTGCCCGGTCAAGTAACTCTAGCCATAGACACCTGCAGCATGTCTCGCATGTCGAGGTCTTGTCTTTGCTGGAAAACCTTACCCACACCGCCGTATCCAAGACAGCATGGGAAGTACCGCATACGCGCTTGGCTACGTGCGGCACCGCCCTCCGATGCCAATGATCCAGGCAAAGGCGTATAGCAGCTGCTGGCTGCTAGAGCAACTGAGAAGACAGCGGGCAGGTCAGGAGACATGCGGGACGCCGGCGGATATATTGTCTGTCGTGGCTGCCTGCGTCTGCGTCCGCGCGATGCTCTCCGAGACCGCAGCCGTGCTTGTGTACGGCAATTGTAAGACTGTGTAGGAGATTGATGCGGTAGCAGGAGTTAGGGACCGGGGTTGCGAGCAGTCTGGAAGGCAGGAGTGGTGCAACGTCGATTAATATGAAGATCTGGCAAGGATGATGAAAGTCGGGCGCTTCCTTTTCCTAGGACGGGGTCGGTCTAGTGCTTGCACTACTGACGGAGCCTTCTCCTTCTCGTCAAACGGCTTGAATTGGGATAACCAGGGAGTGGTGCATTTTTCTTTGCAGTGAGGGATGGGTAGGGGTCCGGAGGAGAGGACGACACCTTTTCCAGTCCTGTTAGTCGGTGCCTGTATAGCACGACCAATGACGACGGTGTTTATAGAGACAAATGAAATTCCGAGCAAAGAATGCCTCATTCCAGGAATGCGAGGCTGTCGTTCCTGAAAGCTGACGATGATCGGAGAGAGAGGTTTCCAGGTCCCTGTGACGGGGCGGCCCAGGCCAGAGCTCCCGCTGGACCCTGAAAACCGAGGCGCCAGAGTGCGTCATTGATCAGCAAACAGCAAACAACAGACGCAGCACACAACCACCACCACGACACCTCCTGACCACCTCCGCAACCATGTCCGGCGCCGATTCCAAAGTGCTCAAGTCCGAGCCCCTCGTAGGCCCTCTTGTCCCACCCCTACACCTCGCCCGTCCACTCACACACCCCGCGCACAGAACCCCACCGAGGCGCGCTGGACGCGCCTGGTCAAGACGACGTACACGGACCCGAACGGCGTGACGCGGGACTGGGAGTCGGCGGAGCGGCAGACGCGGCCGGTGGGCTCCGCCATCGACGGCGTCGGCATCGTGGCCATCCTGCAGGAGAAGGGCAAGCCGCCCGCCCTGCTGCTGCAGAAGCAGTTCCGCCCACCGGTCCACAAGGTCTGCATTGAGGTGCCCGCGGGCCTGATCGATGCGGGTGAGAGTCCCGAGGTCTGCGCCCTGCGCGAGCTAAAGGAGGAGACGGGCTATGTTGGCGAAATAGTGCGTGAGGGCTTTGGCGTCAGTCCCGTCATGTGGAATGGTAGGTCTGCTGTTTTCTTGCGTGCTGTGTTGGTGGGCGGCGTAAGCTTATCGCAGCGCCGCTGGCATGGGTCGCCATGCGCAAGTGGGATCGCTGCTTTGAAAACCACACACTAACGCTGCATGCTAGACCCCGGCTTCTGCAACACAAACCTTAACATGGTGCATGTCACGGTCGACCTTTCGCGGCCTGAGAACCAGGACCTCAAGCCTGAGCTCGAGGATAACGAATTCATCGAATGCTTCTCGATTCCGCTGACAAACTTGTACGCCGAGTGCCGCAAGCTGGAGCAGGAGGGATACGCCATTGACGCACGCGTTGGGACGCTGGCCGAGGGAATCGAGATTGCTAGGCGGTGGAAGCTATATTGATCACTAGATAAGACGAGCAGTGAAACCATAGACTTCATAATGGATTATGATGGTGAGCATGGTATCTTTTCAATTTTCAGCTTGCACAGCTTCAGCTAGGCCTATTCAAGACCAGTACTTGAGTGCATATGCCCTCTATAAGACTATGAACTCCAAACGCCCACTATATCAGCATTCATTTAAACATGAAACTGTTCCCTATCCTTCTATTTAGGCATGGCTTCCGAAATCTTTGACCAAACGCGGATTTGCAAAAGTCTAGAAATCGTTTCCGTTGACCCCATTAGCAAGCTTTTCCTGGGCTTCCTGCAATAACTCCGCGGTGATCTGGGGCAAGCAGCCTGCACTGGCGGCAATGAAGCCGAGGTAGGGCTTGCTAGGTTCGAGCACTCGGGAGAGGTACTCGGGGTGGTACTGGACACCGACAAAGTAAGGGTGGTTCTTGAGCTCGACAATTTCCATACGCTCGCCAAGCTCATCCTTGCCAATGAAGTCAAGGCCGCCCTGCTCAAGCTTCTCGATGTAGGCGGGGTTGACCTCGTAGCGGTGGCGGTGGCGCTCGAGGACGGCAGGTGCTTCACCATACATGGCCCGCAGCTTGCTCCACTCACTGCCAGGTTGGAAGAGGGTGGGGCGCAGACCCAGGCGCATAGTACCACCCATGGTGGCCTTGTCGATTTCAGGCATGAAAATGATGACACGGTCGTCGGCCTTGGCGTCAAACTCCTCAGAGGTGGCACCGGTGATACCGCACATTTCTCTGGCGTGTTCGATGACGGCGATCTGCATGCCCAGACAAATACCCAGGTACGGGGTCTTGTTGTCACGAGCCCACTTCGCAGCAGCCATCATGCCTTCAGTGCCGCGCTGACCGAACCCACCAGGAACCAGGATACCCTGCGCGGTGCAGACATCGTGCCAAGCCTTGTGGAACCTCGCAGGCTCGGCAGCCCGGATGTGGGGTTCCAAGTTCTCGGCATCGACCCAGATGATGTTGAGCTTCCTCCTGCAACGCATGGCGGAGTGCTCGAGGGACTTGATGACGGAAAGGTAAGAGTCGTGGAGCTCAACATACTTGCCAACCAAGGCGATGTTGAGCGTTTCGTAGAAGTGGTCTTTGGTGATGGTGAGTTCTCTCCACCTCTTCCAGATGGCATCGCCCTTCTTCTTCAAGGCAGGTGCGATGCTCACCCCCTCAAGATGAAGAGTTTCGCGGAGGAGAGGAACAAGTCCTTGATCCTCAAGCAGGATCGGAACTTGGTAAATGGTAGGCATGTCGCGGACGGCAACGACCTGCTCAATCTCGACCTGACAGTGGTGGGCGATTTTGGCAATGGTCGATTGCTCAAGCGGCAGCTCGCAACGACACGCAATCTGTAGGACCGTAAGCAAAACACTTTTAGTGTTGAAGATATTAACGTACCAAATCGGGAATCAGACCGGCGCTACGCACGCTTTTCACGGCGTGTTGAGTAGGCTTGGTCTTTTGCTCTCCGTTGATAGTCGGGACGTAAGAGACGTGGATCTGCAGGAAGTTGTTCTTGCCCGCTCTCCTCCGCAACTGCGTCAGAGCCTCCACGAATGGCATGCTCTCAATATCACCGACCGTACCACCTAGCTCGATAATGCAGACATCTGGCTCCTCGTTCGTGTCGTCCACGGGTATCCTCGCAACACGCTCGATCCAGGCCTGGATGGCGTCGGTAATGTGAGGAACGACCTGGACGGTCTTTCCGAGGTAGTCACCCCTCCGCTCCTTCTCAATCACGTGCTGGTAGATCTTGCCAGTGGTGATGTTGTTCTCGCGGGTGAGGGTGATGTTGAGGTAGCGCTCGTAGTTTCCGAGGTCGAGGTCGACCTCGCCGCCGTCGTTGAGCACGAAGCACTCACCGTGCCTTCGGGCGCGGTCAGCAGTTGTATGCAAAATGTGCCGGGTGGTGTGCATACTCCTTTGGGTTCATGGTACCCGCATCGACGTTGAGGTACGGGTCGATTTTAATCGACGAGACGTGCTGAGCTTGTCAGCTACCAGACCTACTACAGCGCGCAGAGATGCGCGTCACAGCAGGCTACATATCTTGAGACCAATCGTCTTGAGCAGCAGGCCGGTCGAAGAGGCTTCAGACGCGTCAGTTCTGCGCGGTTCGCACGGTTGGAGCTGGCATACCGATGATGCCCTTGCCGACACCGCTGATAACACCTGTGCTGCAGTCAGAAAATGCAAAAAACAGGCTCAGAGCAGACTCTCATACCTCCAGATACCAGAACGTACTTCATCTTGGATATTCTCGAGTAAATGGTGCCCTTCCTGGCTATTGCCGGGGGGAAAGAAGGAAGAAAATGCGGCCCGCGTCGGAAGAATAAAAAATTGGTGGGGCTGGTCGGCTAGGGCTGACGACAGGCCCTTAGCCAGCCAAAGGGCACGACCTTCAACGCGGCACCTACTCTCTGACGTCCTAACGTCCATCGGACCTCACTCGTCCACTGCTCACCCTGCTACATCGGATTGCCACATCCGCAAAGTCTTGCACGGTGTACGCGGCCGAGCATCCCTGTCCCGCTAGCCCATTGCTTCCGAATCAGCGCCTCGGTCAGGAACGCCTGTGATCAGGTCATCAAACGTGGATCTCCGCCCGGAAACATTAAAATGATTTAACAGTCACTCGAATCTGGCCTCGCTCTTCGGCCCCATGCCATGATCGCCGCGGCCCGGACGTGCCTTGCTTCGTGGTCATGGCCGATCACACCTGCTTTCGAGAGCAGCCCTAGAAGCGGAATGACCGACGGCCAACTTGGACTCGCGCAGCTGCAGCTGGCAACTTCGGGAAATTTCTCAGTAAACTAGTCTTTTCATCATGCACATCATCTCTCCGATCTCATCGTGTACATGTTCCTCCTTCATTGTCGGTCCGTCCCATACCTTGCAACCAGGCAAGCAGCCGACCAGACGCAACCATCGTGAATCATACCGTCCATAAACCCATCAGTGCCATGCTCCGTCACCGCCTTCCATCTCCCATCTTTTCCAGTGCGCTATCGTCACAATACCTTGAAAAGCGCGCTTAGTACTAATAGCCTGTAGTAGCTACACACCGCTACCAAATGCTCTTTTCAAAGACCGAGAAGAAAAAAGTAAAGATGTTAAGTGAATCTCGGTTGGCCCGAAATTAGGCCCCTGCCGTCCAAACAGTGTGATGGGTATGCCATGCCTCTGTGTAATATGACTCCCGTAACCGAACCCGTATATGTCCCATTCGTGTCGGTCTCATTTTAACCATACTCCTTTTTTCTCCCAGGTTACCTTCTCGTGCAGTGCTTCATTCCCGGCGCCTCTTGCGCCCTGAATTCGACATGGTGTCGCCATCTCCTTGGTCGTCTTCCTCGCTGATCGCACTCGCCCGTCTCCTTGCCAGAGCCTTCTCGTTGCCCTTTTTGACCTGAATGTTGCAACCTTGAAGCTTGAGTGCCCGGGTGAGAGCGCTGCTCGGCCGCATCCCTGGAAAGTCCTTCGCGGTGTAGACGGTGAAGACGTCACTCAAAACCTCGGTGAGGATTGGCATAAGACCCCCGACGTGCAAATTCATGGGGTCAATACGCATCAGAATGAACCGCAGGCGATAGCGTCCGTGCGTGCGGCAGGAAAGATCCGGGAAGCAGAAAAAGCAACCCTCGACGTCATGCTCATCTTTGGCCACGGAAGGCGAAGCCACCAGTTGGCCCATCAGGCGCCGTGTGGTTCGCCGATCCGGTTGGATCAACGCCGTCTCTTCGCTTGTGCCGTCGGCGTTCCAGAGAGTACAGTGCACCACATTCAAAGAGTAGCGCAGCTCGTCCTGGTCCGTCGTTCCGGTCCTGGGGTCCGTCACCCGGAGCTGAATGATCGGTGGCGGGTCTATTACCCTCCTATCCCGCTCACCAAATCCGCATGCTCGAGCTGCAATGGGCTGCTGCCGCACTATAAGCTCATATGTATGTTGACTGCGCCCAGTGTTAGCTACATGATAGAAAAAAGCCACTGAAGAATTCCACGTACTTTTTGTCTTGCACTGGCCCATGAAATGGCACACTAGGTGCAGCGATGGGACCTGCGCACGCCACGGTGGAGATTGGCGGTGGAGGCGGCCGTTGAGCAGGGATTGGAGCTGGTGGCTCTGGATAGGTGACAGGGGGACCAAACGACGAAGCTACAGAGCTGCGATGCGAGTCTATTGAACCACGGAAGGACGTGGTGCTGGGGGCATAGCTCGGCGTGTAGTTGGGTGACAGGACGGGCTGGTAGGCAGGCCTCTGAGGAGCAGGTGGTGGTGGTGGAGGAGGAGGGGGAGGATGGTTTGCAGACGGGACGAAGGGTGGTTCTTGAGGAGGAAGGCGCGGCTCTTCTATGGCGGCATAGCGTTCAGGCATGCGGCGGGGCAGGGGCCTGTCTGAGCGGGGAGAGACAGCATTCGGGTAGTGGTGATCTGGACGAGGCGGTGTGTACGGGGTGGAGGACAGCAACTTGTCGACGGGTGCTGCTGAGCGGGTTTGTGATGGCCTGGCTGGGGGCAGAGAGTGGATGGAAGGGAGCTGGTGGCTTGCCGGAGACACGAAGGACGGATAGTCAGGTCGCACAGAAGCGGGAGGGATGGACAGAGGCGGCAGTTGCACTGGCTGGGGCAGGCGACGGTACGGATGGCCCAGGAAGGGCGGCGGGGGGAAGTTGGGGAGGTTCTGAGTCTCGGTCATGGCCATTTGGGAGGAGCTGGAGGGAGTCGACTTGGGCGGCGGCGGTGGAGGACGGGACATGCGTGTGTTATTAGTTCTCGGCGGCTGCACGAAGCCGCATTGGGCGGGCGGCTTGGCGACTAAGAGGTGGGAGGTCGTCAAGCAGTGCCGAGTCGGTGTGGGCGTGCGAGACAGTCACCGGCCGGGAGGGTCCAGGGCGGCGGGTACGGAGGTTAAAAAGGCACGAGCGGGCCGCCGTGGGCTCATTCGTCCCAGGGAAGCACAAGACGCGCAAGGAGCAGGTGATTGAGGGTGGTATTTTCGTCGCGCATCCTCAAATAAGGCCCGTACCCGGGCAAACATCGAGGGCGGCCCCCCGGATTCTGCGCCGTGTTTCGGGTGCCGGAGGCATGCAAGCGACAATAGACCTAGTTAGAGCACACACAAGAGAGAGAGAGACATGCGAGGGGAAAGGGTGGGTGGGTGAGTGGGGGGGCGGGCGGACGGGAGCAAGGACGGGTGGAATGTGGAATGAAAGGCCTCGTGCGACGCTTCCGGCGCTGGCAACCGGGAATCAGCTCTCTGTCAACGGCGGCCCCCTTGGCTTCAGAGGGCCTTGCTGCTCTGGTCGCCGCGCGCATTAGGGCGTGTAACTCGCCCTATATAGCATGCACCGCCAGTCACACGCTGCCGTTGTGATATATGACCCACGCTGAAACCACTGGCCCTGTGCGCCCATGTGGCGGCCTGCGACGCCCGACACCGCCAGACGCCAGCCGCCAGGAACCTCTTGCTCGTCGTGTCGCCCTGTCAGCCAATGCTGCGCAACCGTCGCATTCACTTTCACAAAAAAGCCTCTTCACCCTATCCGCCGATCATCTGCACCATCCACTGCTCTTTACCGGTGACCAGGAATTTCCCAAGCCCCCCAGTCACACGAATCAAAACCCTCCGACCAACCCCCCCTCAAACGAGACATTGCCCGCGGCTGCTCGCATTCGCGCGGATAAACTTGGATCGATCACCGTTGATGCGTTGATGAGTGTGGGGACGCCCGGCGGGTCCACGGGTCGTAGCGACGCGCTCTTAGGCCCGAGCTTAACACATCAGGGACCCCGGCTATTATTTCCCCTTTTTCCTTCCTTCCCTCCTCGAATTTCTCGAGCTTCCTCCATCCATTGCATCTCTTCCATCTTCCTCCACCCGAGTCTTCTCCCCAATGCAGCGTCCCTGCATGCGGCTGCCAGCGGATGCAAAGCTACGCCCATGACACAAACAAATCATTGCAGCTTCTGCTTCCGGAATCTGAGGCACGGGAGTTGCCGCAGGGCAGCAGTACCACCTCGCTTACGATGACGTTGGTCCGTCTCCAAAACAGACACGACCACCTACCTAGTTCCATCCATGATCACTGTCCAGAACCAACCCGCAACCTCTCTCGACCACCTAAGCGATGGATGGTCGCACAAAGATTGTCTCTGCGCATGACAAACCTCCAATCACACTCGACGCACTCACACGCACACGCACGCGAAAGCCTGCTACACGCCTTGGTCGTGGGTCGATTGCATGAGTGCTGCCCGTCCTGTTGCCCCAGGATCCAATCAAGCTGGGGGACACGTGAGCTACAAAAAGCTACAGAAGCGACCGGGGAGCAATCGCCGCCGCTACCGTCAGGAGACGTGACGGAGAAGCCAAAGTTCGGCGACCGAGTCTATCACCGCATCGGCGCATACAGCGCGTACAGGGCATGTAGAGCGATGGGCGAAACGGACCCGACGACGCTTTAAACTTTATTCAATATACGCATGTTTGCCTCAACTGCACGGAAGACTTGGCATGCAGGTGGCAGGGCACACGATACCGAAGCGAACGCCGTCCGACAAGCCGCTTATTGCCACACAGCCCAAACCCGGTAACTGCTATGAGATGCGGAGCGAGTCGTCATATCGAACGGGCGGCCTGGATCGAGGGACCAGGATCTGGATTTCATTAATGTGCAGAAACGCACGTTAGCCGCTTGCCGTGCGGCAAATCCGACCCGGAGGTACTTCTGTCCCGGACGACGTAAAGAAGGGCGCGCGGCCGGCTGCTGTCCTTCCTGAAGCCAGCCTCACCCGTTGCGCTAATGTTTTCGTGGAGCCGTCGACCAGGGTTCCGGGCGACTTGTTTGCTTTGATGTTGCTCACTGACTAATACCTGTCAGGTCCCTCGAGCAGTACCGCTTTATCCCGGGCTATAGCAGCCCAACTAATGGTACGATATTTTAGCCTCCGGCAGAGTCGCTGACGTCCACGATGCTATCAAGCGGCAAACATGGTCACCTTCCCATCGAGTCAGGTGCAGTTGATAGTTCCGGCCCGCCATGTCCCGGTGATCGAAGTTTTCGGGACTTGGGCACGCCGCATTGCCGACGCGTGAGGTTGGGTTTGGGTGGTCATATCTGTCGATCGGAATGCTCGGTGGATACTGATCAGCTTCGCTACCATGTCGCTTCATAGCCCCGGTAAGTTCTGGGCCTTTCTGGGCGAAGGTGGGGTGAGAAAAGGAATTCCACTCTGTGATCAACAGCAATCACTACGCTGGATTGGTTGGTACCTTTCACAGATCCTTTCTTCAGGCCTCTACCCGCCAGCCAACTCAGCGGCACGGCAGGAAGATCACCCGAACTTTCATTGGAATCCTACGTTTTGGAAGATATTGCAGCTTAATGAAGCTTCCCCGTCATATAAGAGCAGCCCCTTTCATTCCGTTTCCCGTCGCGTGGCCTCTAATCGTTGGGTTTTACATGGTTTCACTAAAAAAAAAGACGTGTTCAATGACGGCAAAGGCTCAGGTCTTCGCTGCATTGTAGCTGAAGCTGCATCTTCCGGGTTCGCCTGTCTGAGGCTGTGATTTCCTTGGTCGCCGGAAATGCCAGAGGAGCTCTCCGCGTAGCCGCGGTTGATTTCAATGGAGACATAGATGCATACGGCCCTCCCTGCCTTCGGGACCGTCTCCACCCATCCATGCCCTCAGCCAAGGCGATCTCCATCCCGAGCAGAAGGGTATCCGGCCATCCCCGCACTATCAACTAGATGAAGGATACGAATGCGGCAGCATCATCCCTTCGGATAAAGATTATTTGTATCATTTAACATTATCCATCCACACTCCGCAGCAATCGTCTCTCGCATCCGTTATCTACCTTCCTTCAATTCTAACCAACCGGCAATCCGGAGCGCCATCCGATTGGAGAACATGCCTGCACAGGCAGAGCTTGATACTTCACTCTATTGATCCTTTAGCCGGGGCGAGCCAATCGCTTTGCCTGCCGCTGTCACGCCCCTGCCAGCGTTCGCAATAGGCGAATTGAGAAGCCGACCGCGGCCGAGGATGGACGTGCGCGGAAGCAACTGCAACGGCACAGTGTTGCTACAGAGCTCGCCCTTACTTTTCGCTTTACCGAGTACCTGGCCGTGGAAAAAAAA